TTTCTAAGTGGTTGGTACATTGCAAAGAAAAATATTATTGGCTATTGGTAGGTACGAGCTATCTTTTGTAGGCAAAATTTTGAGTTAGAGCTTATGTAGAATGCCTACAAGACGAATATCGTATCTTTTTTAAGAAAAGTGACTTTTGAGCGTTGATATTCTTATAAATATCTTGACCATATTTTGGTTTATTTGTTTAGAATTCAAATAACATTTTTATCAAGTTCCTGAAACCCCGCTTCTTTGCTCAACCGTAATCAAATGTTTGACTTCAACACGTACAAATGTATCGAGAAAACCTCGATTGAATGTTATACGCAGCCTCGCAGAACGAAATATTCCTTGATATAGGCAAAATAAAGTGAAACAGAGGTGGGCAAAATTTCGAGAAAAATGACTGCTTCTGTGTCACAGAGTCGTGGAAATTGCTCGTTAAAACAAAGTTGATATGTTATTTTTGGAAGAGTAAATTATTTTCTCAGGGCACAGCTGCTGCTACGAAATGAATAAGTGAAATTGGGATATTTGATCAATTTAAATTATAATAAACAAATTTAAGAACGGAGAAATGTCTCTGGTTTATGTTGGTGTTATATTGAGGCATTTTGCAAAGTATCGTTCGTGTTTGATTACTGACTGAAAATTACTGAAAAGGTTAGATCAGTTTTCTTTTGTTGTCGTACTCTTGCATTTGTCCGAAAATGGTTTTTGTCGTTGTTTGCTGTTCGTTCTTCGATGATATTTCTACATACAGTGGAATCCCAGTATAACGAACTTCCCGGTGTAACGAACTAAATGTCTGGTCCCTTGGATTCTGCTTCACGAACTCCTTAAAAATTCTCTCGGTATAACAAACCCCGAACATAACGAACTCTCGTTATTGCGAACAAAATCCTAGACCCCTTGATCATAATTACCCCGATATAACGAGCTTTTCCTAAATTTTTCATCTGTTATTTTGATTTATTTTTTTCTGGTGTTCATTTATCACTTTCTCTGAGGGGAAATCGTTATTGTCTTCGGTAAAAGATACATTTAGCAAACATCACTTTTTATGATGCTGAAAATGACACTTGAGGTAGAAATAAATTCAGCAACATAGAAATCAATACCTGGAGAGAGAGCTAGAAAAAGAAGCCTATCGAATGCATTAGACAAATAAGGAATGAAATGATCGGGTTCCATCACGAAAATCTGAAGCTGGCGAAACATTGTTTTGAATAGCCAGTAACAACCATATCTGGCCTAATAACCATTAAAGCCAATTATTATTATTATTGTTATTCTATATATCGGTTATCAACACCATGATGAAATTCGTTTGTTACCTTCACTATTAGAGCTTTAATGGTGTGTTGAAGAGAATTTTCTCCAGAGATGGGTTGTAGCTTGATAAAAAAACTTAAAGTTGGATAGGGCGTGGCAATTTGTTTTGGTTCAGTCGCTTTATGGTTCGTCATTCCAGTTAAAATGTGGACGGAATATATAAGACGAAGCATCGGAAAGATTAGACTAATCGCTGAAAAGAAAAACAAGACGAACTTTGCACAACAGCATGCAGAATGCAGGTCCTGGGCTCTAGTAGTACGTACTATTACATTCATAGACCAGTAATTGATTGACATGACTCGAAATGTTTGAAGATTTGACGGTGCAAAGCCGAAAGATAACAGTTCTGGCATGCATTGGAGAAGATATGTTTGAAAATTTTTGGGCTTAGACAATGAAGTGAACAAGCACAGTTTAGATGTTTTGATAAACATCTTTCTTATCAATTACGTAAGCAGAAAACTGTGAATGAAATATTGTCTGTGCAATCTGTTGTTTATACACAGCAAGCTGATCATCAAGATTTCAAAATTTTATGATTTCTTTTACAGGGAAAAGAAAGGGCAGCAAGATGAACCCAGTATCGAAGATGTTTGTATGTTGTTTCCTCACCTACATTGTCGTGGGAAGCATGGAGGAATCACCAGTGTATGAAGACAACATAATTGACTATATTCTGAGAGATATACCGCGTGACAACGAGCAAGGCTTTGGAATTTTAGGCAAACAAGGACACATCGACAGTCATCAGTCCTTCAAAACGATGCAACCAGAAAGCAACATCGATCAGATTGAAACAAAGAGCCTGGTTTCAAAACGAGACAGAAGACTACAATGCATTGTAAGAGATGCTTGGGGTAGATGTCGTAGGTACAGAAAGCTGGGGCTATGGGGCAAACGAGACGCCTAATATATTTACTGTGTTAATAAAAATGCTATAAAGCAGCTGGCTATGACGTATGAAATCAATTTGTGTAAATAGAGCTTGAGTTTTTAGTAGCATTTGTGCCTTGTTTTCATGACAGTACCTTAAATGTAGGTGAATATATTAATAGTAAGATGTATAGATTTATGGCTAATATTTATGGCTAATACATAAGCAGCAACACTCGTATAGCAATGATTCTGTGATCAGTTATGTGGTATACAGTATAGGAGTTTCTTGATATTGTGTGAGAACATTATGACTTACATTTTTTTAGACTTTTTTTGACTCAAAGATTGTATAAAATATTTCAGTCAAAGAAACAAATTTAAAGTATAAAATAATGAACAAGATGTGTACAATTATATAATAAAAATCTATGTATATGAAAATAATCTATAGGCATTAACTTAGAGCATGCAACATGTAGGAAGTTTGCTGGGTCAACGTGAAAGAACGGCTTTGGTAGGCCTAAATATCTCGTGAACTAATCTGTCTACATATACAGTTTAAAGAAGCATAGTTCGACTTTGTATACAATCTTGCCGATAGCTATGGCAAATTATTCTTTCTGAGCATTATCTAAACGATAAAAATTAGTAGTGATTTTAGAATAAGATACGAATGCTTTTTCAGACACATACCGGTTCGAGGTTCGAGCCCAGTGCTCGGATCTCTCAATAGAGATTAATAGATAGTGGAAATGAGGTTAAGTGCCATGTAGGCTTAGGTAACTGGAAACCAAAAAAAATTAACGAAGAATAAAAATCTGTGTGTTAATACGATCAAACTATATTGTAGAAAGATCGAACTATATAGAAGTAGAAAATAGATGCCTAAATTGTCACAATTGTAGCTGGAGATGAAAAAATAGCCGGACCAAAATGTATTTATCTTTGTTGGTTTTGTACTGTCATTCTAAGCTTAAACGTCTGTGTAGCCCGCCTAGCAGTAAACCAATAAACTAATGAAAGAAGTTGGAATTTTTATGACGAGTTGCGAAAACTCAGTATACCGTAAAAAATCTTTATGGGGCTAACTCAGAAGAGGGGGAATAACCAGGGAACCTTTTCAATATAAAGCTGTCATCCAAGTAATTTGTTTTCAAAGCTTTCACATTTTTAGAGATCACTTTGAGAAACTAAACATTCTGCAGATCAATGTCCACAACGAAAGTATTCTGAAAATGTTTCTTTTACTTCAAATTTAACGATTAAGGACAAACATTATATTGCAATCTGCATGTTAGGGGAGGAGCTTATTTAACAGTGGGAATTATCAAAAACTTTCATTTCAAGGGCGCAAAGTATCGTTCCTCATTCTGACAAAATGATAATATTGTTTAATTTACAAATCTGGGCAGATTCGTGGTCATAAGGAACATATAATGTCTAACATTAAACTTCATCTTATGAATGACCAGCCTGGCTTAAAAACTTCATGGCCACTCGCTCCGCATCCTTCATATTTTGTGGTTTTACCATTGCTCACAAAAAATTGTTCTTCCTCTTTTAAAATAAATTTTGCTAGCATATTTTCTCAGAACAGAATTGTTACTTGCTTGTTTGACGATTTTATTAAATTCCTGGCCCTATTGTTCTACTTTCCCGCCAAACTTTGATTATGCTTTTTCGCCTACATGGTGTAAGTAAGAATTAGGCCAATAATTTTAACCAACAATTCGAATACTTTCGGGAGGGGAGTGTAGTGTCTACCATCAAATAATGTAACAATTTTCATACAACTGTGACTGTGAGATACAATTGAAAATAATGCACTTTTTCAGCTTCTTTTTCACACACAAAATTAAATCAGCGAAAATTATTAGTAGTTCATGTTCCGTTTGGTGTTTTTACCGGCTCATAAAGTAAAACTTCGATCCGTTATCCAGGGGGACAGTCAACGCGTTATAATCAGAGTAATTCAGGATCATATTGTAGGGTCATATTGATATTTCAGGATCTGTCGCACATCGAATGCGACATTTTTACAAAGGAAATAGATGATTCGATTTTCTTTGTATCCCAGTGAGACAATTTCAAGCTTCGTGAACTTTCGTTGTTTATGTTTACTTACCTATGTCTTAAGTTGAGTTAAATATGTTTTAATAAGTACCAAAGGTACACAGCTCATTTTAGGAAACTGTAAGCTTATCAGGGCTAATTTAGAAAACAGTCAAATATCTTTAGACACAAATCTTCAGGACTGGCCTTTCCATACGATCTTCGAGGCCTCACCTCTCCGCATGGAGGGTTTGCTCAGGCCACTTCTGGGATCAGGGGCGAGTTAGGGAATTCGTATTGGTTAAATAGAACCAAATGACTCTGGGAATGAAAACCAACACAATAAACAAACAATGAACGGAACATTTTCGCCTAGAATTGACTGAGATAAATAACATCATATTAAACTTTTATCATATCAGTGAGCTATCAGACACGTGGTACCGTAGGCCATTCTCCATAAATTTGGGCATACGCTTTTCATGTTACAAGGTCATCGGGAAACCCACTATTTCTGCGATAGAATCTTGCCTGGCCTTCAAATAATGGTAAACTAAAAAAGCCTAACAACCAATTATTGCCTATTGTCTAACATTTCAACTAAAGGTTAGGCAAAGTTTTCCGAACAAATATCAAAGTGGTTATGCAAAACAACATTGGCTGAAGAAAGGCGTTTCAGCGTATATTGAAATTACAAATGGTGAGGCTCTATTCAGAAAATGATTCAAAATTTGCTTTCTTACCATACTCGAATTGTAAAGCAGTATATATTCACTCGTCCTGCAACTTTGCACACATTGCCTTCCTTGCCAATCCGAAGACAACCAAGGCCACAGTAACTGACAAATGCACGTGCAATTCTCTGTGGAATATACCTTCCTTAAGATTGGTTTTTAAAGTCTCTCAAGGGAAAAGACCAAACAATAGCCTACCGTCTTTTTAAGTGATGGATAAAGAGCAAGATTGGAAGAATTTCGGTCTCCCAGTAATTTTGTTTACAACACGGAAAATGAGTATCAGTATCAGTAGCCACTAAGTTTTCGTCTACATAATACCCACTGAAAAATGAAAAAGAATGGGTAGAGCTTTCTATTGCCTTGAAATAATAGAGTTCGAAGCCCACTCAATTTCAAGAGGAAGAGGACCCAAATAAAAGCGGGAAGCTATTCCTTCAAACCAATACTTAAACGATATGGATACACGAGATCTACCATACTGTGTATGACTGCTGAAAAAGAACAAGGCCAGAGCAGCTGAAAACATTGCTAAGAGTGACAATGAAGGCCCTCTCCTCGCATGGGCTGTTCTTGGGCCATCTTTTCGGATGGCAACACTCTGGTCACATTCGAAGCTCGATCCGGTCTTTTTTGTCGATTAGTGATAGTACCATAGTCAGTAGAAAAAACAATAGTCAATAGTTTTGTATTGACTATAATAGTTCTCACTGAGTTTGGAAAATTTGAAAGCCCAAACAGAAAAAACACACGTTTTAAATTGTACTCTATTTAGAGTGAGCTCATAGCTCCCTTGAAAATATTACAGGAAAGCAGAAACATTACTCAAAAGAGATTGTTTTATTTTTCAATTATCAGATAAACGTATTATAGGAACAAATTTCATCGCGGTTGTAACTAGAAAATTAGGACAAAATATGGAACAAGTCATGGGTAAAAGTTGCATGTTTGCAAAATTTAGAAATCATCAATCTATCGCAAACAGTTTGAGAATTTTGAAAATTCTAAAATGGAACAAAAATCAAAACAAAGAATGGGTTGCTATAATTGATTATTTTGCATCACCATATTTTGCTATCCTTTGTAAATTAATGGTGGAATGTTTCTCTTGGGCTAAAACTCAAACAGTAGACGTAAGCTAAGTGAAATTTATAGGTACATGGCCTTATGGAAATTAGATAAAAGGCCCCGATGGTAATCACAACGAACGCTGTCCTCCCATAAAGTTAACGCCTCTCTTGATTCAGATAACCAAATATAGCGAGTCGACATTTCTATAGGCAAGCCAAAGAGGACTAAGGGGGCACTAGGGAAAGGGAAAGGAAAAGAGTTGAATTCGCTTCTAATGTAGCATTGTAAGCTAGAATCACACAAGAATTACTAAACAGAATTATGCTACTTCACTTTGGTATGAACTTAGCCGCTAGTTTCATTTCGTATTCAAACCAAAGTGCAATGGAAAGCAGAGTTAAAGAGCCAAGTTGATGCGCAGCTGCAAGTGATGTTGGTACGTAGGTGAGTAAAGTAGTGATGCCTAGGCCAACCTATAGGATACAAAAACAGAAGTAGATTGAATGGAAGGATTCTTCAAGTATAATTAATAAATCTTCATTCTATCATTAGACAGCACATTTATATTTATAAATACAACTAGGGGTTAGAGCTATCAAGACAAACTATTTAAATCTCTCAAATCTTGCATAACTTATCATACAAGAATACTTATTGCTTGGAATACCAACAATGCACCGTGCAACCGCATACACAAGTTTTTACAGGAACATTCTTACAAAACATATCGTTATGTTCATTTTGATGCAGATTCTTTGTGACTATCAGGTTTAGATATATCCGCTAATTCAGACTTTTTCGCAACTTATTTATTCGTAACTAAAGTTGCAGGAATATTCCAGACTGTAATTAACAGATAATAAAAAACTATTAGAATAGGGTGAAGATAAACCAATTCTTTTTAAGGCTGAGACTGTTCTTGGGACGTGTTTAAAGATGCATATAGGTGTTGCAGGGTCAATAATTCTCACATTAAGTTCTTATCTCAAATGCGCAATATGATAATGAATTTTGGCGATAGTGCCTGAGAATAGGGGTATTTTGAAACAATGAATATTAAGGAAAAGGCCTTCCTGAATGATCTTATTATTTTTCTGGAAAAAAATCCCTTAAAAAGAAGGTGCTACAAAAAAGGTTTTTAAATTCTTACATTTTTCTTTCCGGGAATTTACTCCACTCGTTGCCTAATAATAACGTTTAACTACCATGACTACATGGTAGTAACACTTTGTAAATGGAAAACTTCAGGCACAGAGAGCATTTTGGAAATTTTATGCAAAACAGTTGGAGGATACCTATGTGAGCAGAGCAATTTCCAAAAAGTCTAAATTGACCACTCTCAATAGAAGAGCTTCTTATTTGATAACCGATGTCAAAATTCAAATATCATAAAATGTACATCAAATATCATAACAACAAAGCAACAGGATAGAAAAGGTCCTTGAATTGCTTTTCATTTGGCAAAGTTTTTACTCGAAGGGCACTAGGAAAATGTGTCCAAGGTGTCCTTTTGTCCCCACCCCTGTCTAACACAGCGATGGTGGTATAAAATATCAAGCTGTTATCATTTACAAACCTGCATAAAGGACATTCCAAGAAGCAAATTCACGGACATCCTCGCACGATAAGGCAATGCAACTGGCCTAGCAAGACACCAAGCGGCAACAATCGCAGCTAACGTAGTAGTACCCTGACGAAAGCAAAGTATCATTTTCATATGTCTGGCAAGACTGAAAGCAAAAGACCAAAAGGGCAGAAATGGATTCTATCTAAGGCTCCCTAATTCCATAAAAGGCGCAAAACTAAGGCACCAAAAGGGCAAATTTAAGATTTCATATCAGAGTATTTTATACGTGATTTGGCATCAAAACCTTTGACATATATACAACAAGAAACACAATTTGCACAATATCTTTATCGGGTGATACAAATAAGGAACGGAGGATGATACCCTAAGGGTTCCTAGCTTGACTTGCATTCTTCACAAATGCTTGCTTTATCATTATAATCTTAAACTTTGATTCCAATTAAGTATGTTTATTTATATCAGAAGAATTGAAGTGCATATATTTACAGTCAGCATACTTTTTACGCATACGTAACTGGCAACCTTTGATTGTCTGCTCTAGAGATGTTTAAATTTTCCTCAAGATTTATCAATGAGATCTTTAAAAATAAGGTTATAAAAAACCTTTTACAAGCTATCATCGGCTTGTAGAAACTTACCATTCCTGTTATGATGTAAACTTGATAGTAAACATTCTTATACAATAACATAATATAATGTCGCTTTATTAAAACCGATGTAGCTTAAGGGAGTTAATAAATACTTCAAAGCCTACTTAAACCCTGAGCAACTAGTAAAAGCATTACAACAAAATTCATAATCATACCAATATCCTATGGTTGAACTGTGTTGTTGTTGGATTCTCAAAGAGGTTTTTAAACCAGGGTGATAGAGCCCAAAGGTCAGTTGGAATCCATCGATCCGCCATCTTTGGAAATGTGTTGTAAGTTAGGCCGGCGTCAAGACCAGCAACAAATGCGCCTGCAAAAGGTTTTTGCTGGAAATACATTGGAGAAGAAACAAATTGGGACGAATACAGTCGTTACCGGAAGATCATTACTTGAATAATGTCAAGGAAAGAAACACACAAAAAAACTAATACAGTACAGCTCCCGTTGTTTATATCAAAATGTATATTTTCAACTATTCTATTAACAGGTATAGAGTTTTTAAAGCTAAAATATTTGAGAATGTTAAATATCATATAACACATTTAAATCCATCAGCATTTAACACATGTTTCCAAAGGTTGAGAAGCAAGACAATTTTAATGTGACCAATTTCATGGTTTTTGCAAACATTTTGATATTTATTTTAATATCAGCGAAAATAAAAATATCAGTGTTATTAGGTGCCTGGCTAGATCATCATCTCAATTCTTGGCAATTTCACTCGTAATTAAAATTCCACAAGCCGAAGTTTTTTCAATATTTGTTCACATATTCAATTGATAATTGTTTGTGTTGGTAAGGAATCCTCAAAACAAAAACAAGTAAATCGAAAACAAAAGATATACTAAATTTTAATAAGAGCTTCAGGATGCATATCAAACTACATGTTAATAATAACTAAAGACATGCACAACGAGAAATTTCCATATTAAACAACGATTAAAGTTTGTAATGAATGATTGAAGCCAAAAATTGAGTACCTGACAATGCAGTGAAAAAAGTCAAAGAGACTAAGCCATGAGAGAGTCCTCTTAACTTCGACAATTTGGCCGAGACGACAGTCATCTAAAATAAAAAGGAAAAATAAAAGGAAAATGTCATTTCATGAAACGAAACTTTTCAAACGGTAGCAGGTAATGTTGTTGTCTTGAATGAGTCTTTCGAACAACTATCATGAAATTCGAACTGACGATCATTTTGTCACTTTTTTTGCTGACATATCGGTCTGCTCATTAATGACTATTTATTTTTATACAGACATCGATGTTATTTAATATTCACTGACTTTAAATTACAAAATTCAAAGATATTCTATCTCTAACTTACTTTACCTCGATCTAGTATCCATTTTCTTGAATCTACACGGACGTATCTTTTTGTAACATTCATAAACTTTAGTCAGTGAAATAAATTCGTACTGGGGCAATTATCAAAAATGAACACTTTTAGGGCACAGGGCAAGGCGCTTAATAAAGTGAAAAAAACATCGTGATCAAGTCTGCTTTTCCATGAAAAAACGTAGTGTTACAGTCCTACTAGCCTTGCCAGTTGGTGAATTATCATCTCAATTTTTTCGGGAAGTGAAGGTTTTTTAGCTTTTATACAAGAAATTCTAATTAACTTTCTGTACTAAAATTGGTCCAATGAAACATGCTCTTGGGTATAATAAACCTCAAGACGGCACTTCTATGGACTGAAAGAATTTTCTATAAACATTTTTTTAACCTTTGTAAAAAACATTTCAAAAAAGGTTCCCAGTGCGAAAAACATACTTGTTCAAGTTGTATTTACATAATTTGACTTCGTTCTTTTTCATTTATTGACATCAATTTAAAATTGCCCACCCACTGTAGCCCCTTAGGAGTTCCCTCGAGAGGGGGGGGGAGGTCGTCTAATCTCAAATGAGAAAGATCTTATTGGTGAAATTTTATTCATTACCAAAACTACTCTGTATTTTGCCTCAAAGACCTTTCAACCCAATGCCCACCAACGCCCACAAGTTGCAAGCATCATTAAATGCAAGACTTCACAATGCAAGGTTATTGATATGGTTGTCTTACCGTCTCTGGTTTTAGGACATGCGCAAGACCTTGCCAGAACATCAAAGAGTACAAGGCGAATGCCATGCCAAGATGCGCTGCGAGGCGGTACTGGCTTACATGAGGTTGTGCCTGCGTGGACATGCTCATTGTATCCTCTCGTAGTCCACTTTTTACCATATACCAGCCTAATAAACCCTTTAACGAAGAAACAAATCACTCTTATACTGTATATGGATGATTTAATACCAGAATGATGGAATGTAGCATCAAATCCAAAAAAGGTTGGTTTTTTAACTTGTTGATAGATATGGACACTTTTTAAAAAAAATGGCAGATTAAAACCAGATTCTATGCAATTTTGATTCTTTCTTCTGCGAAGCAGTTATATTCAATGAATAATTTGTGAAAATTGAAATTCCAGATACGAAGTAAACGTTGAAGTCACTAATAGTACTGTAAACATATAATGAATGAGAAGCTTAAAAATTCAAACAGTTGCTTTTCAGCTCCTTTAAAAACAACTTACTTGTCCACCGAGAAGAAGCCCGTAAATTAACAAACGAGGCTTCATCGCCTTTGTTATCCAGCCCTTGCTCCAGAAAAAGGCTGCAGGGAGGAAGAAAGCCACGCCAACCAATCTGCCCCACATCCTATGTGCCCATTCCATGTAAAATATAAATTTGAATTCTTCGAGTGACATTCCCAATTTTGAACTACGAAAAAGAAACAGCACATAAATAAAAAGACAATAAACAAATGACTGTTATAACATTCACAATAAACAATAAACAACATTCTTATTCAAAACATTCTCCCAACTTGACAGTGAATGTTGTCTCAGACACTGAATGTTAAAAATCGTAGTTGCATTTTGATTGGTTGCTGCTGAGACGCATGTTTTTTCAGCCAATCAGACTCCCTCACAGGATTCTAGTTTTTTCCACGTGGTATCTTTTGCATGTTTACATTTAACTTTTACTGTCGGCGATACAAGCTGCAATTTGGTTTCGTACATTTTGTGTAATGTGTGTTGAAGGAAAATTAATAAAAAAGAGGTTTTAAGCTGATAGAAGACCAAGTTCTTGGTACCGCAAAATTTGATAATGGTACAAAATAATGGAAAAATGCATACATGTGTCCGTTATTCGATAGCAGATTCTTCCACAAATACTCAAATCTTGTACATGTAATTTTGTATGTACATGTCTATAGTCGGAATTTATATCAATATAGTCAAGTGATAAAAATGTAAAAAAAGCAAGATAATCACAGAATTTGAAGTGAAAAGAACTAAAACTTACTATTTATATTCCGGACATTCTTTGTATTTTTCAAATTCAGCTAGCCATTCTTCCTCCGATCTTGGAGGTTTCATTCCACGAATAAGATGCCATGACGTCATCGACAACCCAGATTCCGTTAACCTTGTAATCCCTCCTAGAGACACTGAACCAACTACAAGCCCACAGCAGCCAAACAGCCAGTAGCCTGAAAAACAAACAGTAACTGTTTCTTAGATATTTATTCAACTACCAGCAAATTGCTTCGTTTTTAATATCTTATACAGTCTTCGTCATTAAGATATTGTTATGTATGTGATAACGAATAATATATTTCATGCATACGATTCACATTCTTACCAAGGGGTCCCAACAGCAGTGGGGTCAGGGGGGCCATTCACCCTTCCACTTTTTTGCAAAACAAAATATATTTTTTACAAATCATTTGCCATGAGTTTTTAATTTGCCCTTGACCACCCCTCCCCCTCGCCCCGCTTTCCAAGTTGCGTCCGAACCTACTTTACATATCTGGCTGTATTCTTGAAAACGCTCCTTTTGGTAGGCGCTTACTTTCAGCTTTGTGTGTATACTCGGGAACTAAAAATCACACTCAATTAATGCTGAACCCTGTGATAACATGTTCCTGATGATGTTCTCTTGCTTATCCGCTGGTTGTCGATTTTTAATAAATGTTTCGTATGCCATGTTCTTTTTGAGAACAAGTTTTCGATAGACTGGGTTATCCAAGGTGCCCTGAAACGCTCCTTGTTGGTATTGCAACAGTTGCACATGCTTTAAAAAATGAAGTGTTGGGACGAAAAGTCATATTTTAAGACTTTACACCTCTTTCAACCCCACACAACCAAAACGTCAGCCACTTCAAGAAAATAAAAATGCATGGCTAAGGGCGAAATAAATAAGCAGAGTCTTCTTTAAATTTAAAGGAAAGCGCTGTTGGCAAACTATGGCTACAAAGGAAATCTTATCAAACTTTGTTAACCATGGCTTTAAAGCTTTATACCAACAACGTCCACGGAGTATGGTAGTTAGCTAAACATTGAGCTACACAACTTAATATTTCAGTCAGAGGCCTTAAAATGAGAAAATGTGCATTAACATACCAATGTACTTTTGTGTTTTTGGATTTAGTGATTTGTCTGCAGTTGCCCCCACCTGAGCTGTTGCATTCACTGTGTTTGACCTCAAAAATTTTGAATTTTTCTGTAAGATAGAAATTTAATAAGAGTGGTAATGCTTAAATGAGCAGCTTTCAACTATTCACATAGATTATGAAATGTTGATTTGTCCAGCTGGGTTAAAACATTTTGAGAAAACGTGGTGGCTTGTAATAAATAGATTTAAGTTTTTAAAAACAAAATGAAAAAGGTGAATTCATCATTTTACCAAAATTCATTCCATCTTGAAATAAAATTAAAAACAGTAATGAAGTGGATATACTTCTTTAACAAAAAAAGTTATTATAGGTCACTGCACAATGAAAGTTTACTTGCTATTTTAAGATTTTGCCAAAGTATTTACTTTTTATGCAAAAAATTAACCCTTGAATATTTAAAATCGTTTAAGCTTTTAGTTTATAGAAAAGGAAATTTGTTTGCCCTATCGCATAATCTTTTTATATTAAAATCACCTTCAAAAAATTATCAGTTTGCAAAAATTGAAATTAAATGAATTCAAACTTTAGTCTTGTGATTTTCTTTTTATTCGGTTTCAATGGCTGTAAAATGACTTAAGATGAACTCCAAAACAATCCAGCTGAAATACTTCAACTCAAAAAATAAGGAAACTTTTTTCGAGATTTGCACTTACAATCAAGTTCTTTGACAAGTTTGTTATTCTTGGGCCTCTTATAGCATGTGATGTGAAGCAGCTCTTTAGCTGCTTAAAAACACATTGCTTCTGCAGGATCTAAAAGAAGAAAGATACATACAGTAAAATATATGCTTCACTTAGTAGCAGTCAATTTTTCATTTCAAATATCGAAAAAACTGCCTAACAATTTATTAACTAAAGAGAATTCCTATCCTTAATAAAACTGAAGATGATCAATATACATCTTGGAATCAATTGCTGAAAAAACCTTTTCATCACTGAGGCATTGAGAAGGCTGCTATCCCCACTGTGTCCAAACTTCACATCAATGTTCATTGGCTAATGCCTTAAAATTGCTAACTCTGATTGGCTTAAAACACAAACCATGTTGCTCCTTATTTTTTGTTTAGGCTTGACAAAGATATGTTTTGGTTCAATTATCTCTGGTAGGAATCTTTGCATTATTTTCAATCAAAACATTAATGGTCTGCAATTTTCAAAATATTGATGAAGTGTCATGATGGATCGTTGAAGTTGATTGCAGACACTAGCAACATATAAATTAAAGCCAATATGGATATTCAAACAAGGAATCAACATGATCAAAAATATTGTGTGGAAAGCAGTGATGTTTAATTTTGTTGAGCTTCAAAGAAAATTGAATTTGAAGATGGGCTGGCCTTTAGGCCTAGGCAGGATATCGAAGGGTTGCAGTTCTACTAACAGTGAGAAAGTTTTTCTTTTATTAAGGTATTATAGCCAGAAGGTCGAATAGAATGGAGGATGAAAACTATTGTGCAGGGAAAAAATTCTCAGCCAACCAGTTTTGGAAGGCATCTATGACTTTTCTGACGCATCACTGCAACCATCAACACCTTATCAACTGCAACCAGTGAGTGAAAGCAATTGACCTGCCAGCAAGGATGCCCATTTACACTATTTATAGTATGATACATACAAACTCAGTGACATTTTGGGTCACAAAAGGTCAGAGGTGCAGGCACAAGAAGCCTAGCAAAGCTGCAAGCATATGCAAATTTTACAGCCTGGCCAGCTAAGACCAAATTTTACAGTCTGGATCTCTTACAAAGAGTGCTGATGATCATACTATAAGCTCAAGTGAGACTTTTCTCAAATTCAGGCTCTGTCAATTTAGTGACAAGGGAAAACCATTAATGCAATATAAGCAATTTTTTCTTCGACATCTGACAAAGGCCAATTTTTGAAGTGGCAGACAAGATTGATAGCAAATGTGTTTTTCTTGTCCTTATGATTTAAAAAAGGTGCATTCCCTGAAATGCTCACTTAAATTCCTTCCTTTGCGCATGCAGAGAACTTGGAAAGGTAGTTTTACTGACGAGGGAGTGCAAGTTACCTATTGAGTTTTTGAGATGCAAGCTGCGAGTGAGATGAAAAATATACATTTACAATTTTATTCTAAACAAATAGCGATACATAACAAGAGAATGTTGTCTTACTTTTCCATTCAGCATGGTCCAAACATGCGCCATCTCTACGATTCGAAAGTTGCATAAAAACACCGAGCAACAACAGCAACTTTATGAACACTTCAGGGAAACGAGGCTTGGGGGGCATTGTTCCACTTCACTGCACCATTTGGGGGGGGGTATTTTCTACACATCCCTACCAATTTACGCCCAGTTGCTTAAAGGCTTATAAAAAATTGAAACTTCATATCTTCGCCCGTTTCTGCATTGCCTCTGATCTGGCTATTCTGTAGCAAAGCTGCCAGCAATAACATCAGTCGAGTACATAAAGTGCTTTAAGGGTTTTGTACCAGGATTTTGAATCCACTTTCGAAGAACTTCTATCAAGACACAAAGATGTTAAAAGACACGTAAAAACCTACAGAAACTGATATAAAAAGTTGGCAAAACGCTCTACCGCCTAAACCCCTCATATCTCTGGGAGAATTTCCAAAGGAAATCTATAACTTCTAACTCACGCAAAACATGTTTTATGCGAACTCCCTCAAGAGGCCTCGCACAATAAAATATGGGATAAACTCCCTAAGATTTAAGGGGGCTATGCTGTGGAGTACCCTAAGTGATGATACAATAAACCTAGAGTCGGTTGGAGATTTTAAAAAAGAAATCAAGATTTGGGATGAAGCCAGTTGCCTCTGTACATTTTGTAAATAGACTTTCGCATTCCTTTTATTAGTAATTAATATATGTTTAGTTAGGTTTATTGTAAGTTGTTGGTGTAATTTAGCTTTTTAGGACCTATGTAAGTACCAACGGTTAATAAATTGATGATGACGATGTCTCTCCAATATCAATAAGGCTTATGTTATGTACAATTTGCCCGTAACTTTAGGATAATAATAAAAAAGACTATCTTTCCGAAATGTTATTGCAATAGTTTGAAAAAAGCAGTTGATGCAATAATATAATTTCAAAAATTTTCATTTGAGCTTTACGAAAAATCAGACAGATTTCACAAATGGAGGGCCAACCCCTTTCATCCTAGGCTATGATGAAACTGATCCCAAAAGTAATGGCTCGATCGATGGCTACTAGCATGATGCCGTAAAAGTGCAAAAAGGCCTACACGTAACTTATTCAGAAAAAAACGATGACCCAGTCATTGTAAATTATGTGAGAATGATTAATTTTATCTTCCATTCAAATTTCATTGCGATGTTTTGAGAATACAAACAAATCATAAAATCCAGTCCTTCAGTGTGCAGAAAAGGGCAGCTCTCCAAGCTAATGTTGAATCCGGCAATATATAGTTTTCTTTATTGCAAGCAATCTTAAAATGAAGACGTAATTTCAAAACCTATTCAGATTAAAAGTTGATTTGGTTGTTAAAAGTTTCAAATGCCTGCTGAATTCTACTACTAGAGAAGTATAATTCGGTTAACGTTTCAAAAACAATCAGAGTGGCTGAGTCAAACATTATTCAAATAAGAAATATTGAAAAAATCACGCTATCGTGTTTATATACGATCGAGGTTATTTGAAAAATCAAATTGAATATGGGCATCACAACCGGATATTAAAAATGTTACAGCTGTTACCAAGATAAAATAAAGAATTAAGTTCTTTTCTATCTTGCTGTTACTGAATATACAATACATTGAATGTTGATAATTACAAAATCTATGAGGGAAGACAAACTGCTGGTAAAGAAAATGGATCTACAACAACAAATGAAGTTGTAAAACCTGGCGTTCAAGGTCAGGCTTTGTGCCGAGTACTAACTATTTAGGATTTTGATAATGCAGCTTTTAAAAAAGAAGTAAAATTAATTACTTTACTTAAGGCAACAACACACAAACCAACTTGCTTCAAGCTTTGATACTACAATTAGTGAAAGCATGAAAGAAGGTATAAAATCAATGAAAATGTTGTTCTTCATGTATGGAGATGTGGTTCTTCAAACAGGGTTAGTGATGTAGAAGTTTTAAGTAGAGCAGACGTAGAAAGAAGCCTGTTAAAAGTTATTAGGAAACGACAGATGGGACATTCGATTAGATCTGAAGGAACGAAAAATTTAATGCTAAAAGGAAAAATAGAGGGTGGAAGAAGTAGAGGGAGACAAAGGCAGAAGTACATAACGAGACTAGAAGTATCTAGTAGAAGAGCATAGACCACAATACTGGCAGAAGAGCAATATTGATACTGTCAAGAGATAGAGAGCGATGAAAAACCTTGATTACCAACATCCTGGAGGGGCAAGACACTTGAAAGAAGAAGACTGCAATTGAATTTATGAATAATTATAAATTAAATTTCAGAAATATACGCAGAATCAATGCAAACAACCCTTGGCATTTTAATGGATATGCAAGCGTCTTGAATAGCCTTGGTTGAGTAAAATACCAACTCAATTGCGGAGATTTCGGCCAACACTTTAAACTAACGATTTTTACTTACACATGGTCATTTTATGATATGATAAGCAGTGTTAAAGAAAATGCTTTTGCCATTTTATAGCATTTGATGGAAAGCTTCTGAACAAAAATTGCATCTGTTTATTGTTAGGTGACAAACGGAAAATATCAAATTTTCGCAAATAAGGAATTGCCATTGAAAGAAATTATGTCCTCAAAAACCATTTGCATTAAAGTAGCTTTAATGCCAAAATCATTTTTAGGAACTTTGAAAAAACGCATGAGCCAACCTGACTACATCGGAGTTCCTGGTTAATTACAAAGCCTCACAATACAAAGAAATATCTTACTTCGTTTCAGAAAAATAAAAATAATGAATGTTAAATGAAATATTCTGATTATATTCAATTATGCTAGGTTATGAATTATTTGAATTATTTGAATCGTATATCAATGTTTCGTATGTCAAACATAAAACAGTAAATTAATTAATATGTCACGAACGATTGGATCAAGTTTCCTCAGTTCAGGATGAAATGCCCTTTTTATCGCTTGCAGCTCTGGTTGTCGACCTGGATGCTGCTACTCTATTCTGCAAAAAATAGCAATTTTATAGAAGAGAAACAAAGCAATAGATTAAAAAATTTCAATGCTTCTTTTGCCTTGTCAATATATGTTACAAACGTATTCTATGACATACTTTCCAAAATTTCTAGTCAGAAACAGCTTGAAAAGACAAGGCCTAGCAAAGAAGTTTGGAAAATCGTGGATTCGAGAAATCAGAGTATATACTTGCATTAAAAAAGAGAGAACAATATACAAACTTGAAAAATTAAGGAAAAATAGCAAAGTTAGTATGTGCTCCAAAGTTAGTATGTTGCTGTTTGCACCATGCTCCAAACAGCAAAGTTAGTTAGTGTTAAGTAATTAGAATTGGACAAGCTGCCCTACACGTTTGGAAATATTCAAACTTTCTGAAATAAGAACTAGCTTAGCATCTTCCTTTTTCAATGGCATGGCTATTTAGAACGGTTTCTGATATGCTATTACAGACATCCAACATAAGGTAATTGTAAAAGCAAAATACTGTTAAAGGTAACTGGTTAAAAGAAAACGCATAATGACTTTTCATTTAATACCTTTCCAGACCCACTGCTGACTGTGTTCCGTGTGAAAAAACTCCTATTTTTAAACTGCAATGGAATACAAATATATTTCCTTAATATTTTCCAGTTTAAAAGCCAGTCAACCTAATAATAAGGTATGCATGCCCCTTATCAAATTAGAATATAGTTGCATTACCCTTAAAGAAGTATTCAATAAAATTTTGCAAATACTTTCTCGGTATTTTGAACATTCTATTTTTAGTATTTGCTCTAAGCGATGTTATAAACTTGCCGGTTATTAGTCATTAAAAGTCATTATTAGTTATTAAATGTTAGATACTAATCAACTATTGAATTAAACATCTAATGAGAAAACATAAAATTAATGTACAGTCTAATTCATTGTGTCTCCCTTCTGGTGGTACACAGCAAATTCAAGCATACAGCAAATTCATTTATAAATCAAGGGCATAAAAGAAATAATAAAACAATATTTTAAGATCTGTCTACCATATTCAAATATATCTTTAATTGACAGTCAATAAATGAATCCAAAAAGCTATTACCTCTGGATTTCTTGCACAGTGGAAAATGAAAATGAAGAAGCCCTTAGGGGAAAAATTTGAGAATATAAAATACCAAACTGGCGTGAAAGCGAGACTAATATGTTGAATAGGAGGAACTTTTTAAAGCAGACAAAAAGCTGCTTGTGAAGTATTTTGACCGAGCCATCAAATATTTGATAATGACTACGAAATATAAGATTTTCAACAAAACATACCATAAAAAATTGTCTTTGAAACATATTTTGTAAATACAAGTCTTTAAAACATGATTTCATCAACAATCGAAATCAATTATTCTGGGTCATGGCTTGCCATAAGAATTTTCTTCAAGACCACCAAAAAAGGAATCGTAATTGAAAATTTCGTACAAGCTGCACTATAAATATCACAGGTTTTAAAAAAGTCACTTTAAAACAAGACCATGTTTATTTAGTTAAAGAATTATTATTCGGTCGTAACTAAAAATTAAAGCAAATAGTGATTCTTTTTAGGACATCATTTTGAAAACATCATTGTAGAAAAAACAATAATAAAACTGTCAATTGACCTAAGTCAACATTGAGCAAACAGGCTTTCCTTTTTTGAATAAACGTGTTCAATTTTAACTAAAACCATTTTAAAAATTGTAAGATTATTGCCCATTACAAATATAAATGTGAAAAATTACACAGGAAAAATAAAAATTTCTAATATCTAATAATTGCAAAAGATATTTAATAATCAAAGTTAAGAATGGGCCAGGAACAAATGAAGTAAAACATGGCTATACTCTGTTTGAACGAAGCTATGAAACAAAGCTCCACCAACCTGCAGGCCGTTAGATATCGCGAACAATACTTGCATTGCCGTGGCGGCAGTACCTATGGCAAGCAAACCAAAAACCCACGTCAACCCAAGCAAAGGCAGCAAAATGGCGACTGCTTTGATGCCAACCCTAAAAGAGAACAGATTATGAGTAGTTTTTGCCTTTGGTTATCCTCACAAGTGTAAATGTAAGGAGCGAAATTCGATTATGAGTACTTGATAATGGGGTAGAAATGAGTAGAGAAAGCAAAGGAAGATCGTAGAAGAGAATGGAAGATTAAAAAGTGAAAGCAATGAGTAGAAGCAACTTGAATAGAGTAGAAGCAATTTGAATAGAGAAAATGGAGAAATTGAAGGGTACTGGAAGTTGAAAAGGCTGGAGAAAACAAATATCATGGAAGACCATAGTAATGGAGAGGAAATTATCGGAAAGAGTTGGGTGCTGAATGACTGAGAGAAATTTAATTGCAAATGCGGGGAAAAACGAAAGGGAATGCCTATCAGTCAAAATGGAAAGGAAGAGCACAGTGCATCAAAGTGCAGAGAAGAAGGGTTACAAAGGCCAAGATAGGACCAAAAAGGAGCATGGATTCATAATGGTGATGTGAAGGTAAATAAAATGTTGATGTATTTATCAATAAGCTTGATAAATATATGATGTAAAATAAATAGATGTTGAAATTTCACGGTAAAATAACTACAAGGGAGAGTGATAGAGGACCATATAAGTGCTAACTGAGTGTGGAGCAGCCCATGCGCTAGACTGTGTATTGCGGTCATTAAGGCACTTACCCAATTTTCTCTCTATCCGACTTCGATCTATTCATTCTTATGTTTAAAGTGGCTTTGACTGCCACCACGAGGACGATGACATTGAACTGAAAAGAGAACCATGCAGCTTTAATACACAAAATGTAAGACAAGAAAAATAGCTAATTCATAGCTAGTTCACCTTTTACTCATCCAAAACCCCAACACTTTAACCCATTTTGAAATTTTGTGGAATTTTTCGTAAAGCTCTAAAAATTTTGCTTTTTTAAGAGTCATTCACTTAATAACTGATAACAGCAAAGTCATTGAAAAATTAACCCAGAAGCTGAAAGAGGGGCCTCCTTAACAGAGATGAGAAGAGTCCGGGACAGAGAGTGTTGATATTTTGCACCCACTTCAAGTCTCCTCCACTCCAGTGTTGGTCCAAATACTTGGATGGGGAGAATAAGAAAGGTCATGCTGGTCATGCATGCGACCCAATCCCGTGTTTATGCGTTCTTTTCTAGGCTTGTACCCAGCTTGTGCCCCGGTTTGTAGATAAAGCATTAATGTTCTTGTATTTCACGAGGCCTATGTTTCGAAATTTGCATCAATATTGCATCTTCTCAAAAAGCCATTATTTTATTCGAAGCTTGTTTGTTATGGAACAAATTTTATTCTACACGAACGAATTTTCACAGTCTTACACCTGAGTAGCAATAATTCCGTTTTATAGAGCACTTCATAGTTTTTTTTGTATAATTTTTGACTCATGAGATCAACAAGAGGACCCAGATTTTTGTATGAGCCGCAGCTGATATTTTGTAAAAATTAGCAACAATTGCAAAATTTAAATGAGAACTTTCAAACTGCCAGATTACCACACTCGCGTTCTTCTTAATTAGAAAACTGATTTGTGATTCCCCGAATAAGGATTTCTAATGAATAAAAATCATTCACTTATCGCTGTGATTTAGAAACAACATATTTTTCCTTTCTTTATTGCTTCGAATTTAGACTGAAATTCTATAAAGTTTTCGAGTACTTTAAATAATTGGATTTACCAGTAGCAAAAATTAGTATTGCCAGTATACTTTTCTCAAGTATCGTTGCCGCTACTGGCTCTCATTTTGTGTCAAATATGTAAAACCCTTATAAAATAGGTAATTAATTGAAAATGTAAATATTTAATATTCAAACAATCAAACATTCATACAAATATTAATTCTAAATTCTTAATCTTTGCTATTATAAGATTAAAATGAAACGAAGCACTAGGACATCTAACGATACGTGAAAATAAATTTTTTTGAGATAGATCAAAAATATATAACTCATGTACCGAAAATTTCGAACAAATTCTCATTATAATTGATTTGATTCCTTTGAAAAAATTCACATCTACCTAAATTAAAGGTTATTGAACTTACAGTGACTATTAAAATCATTGGTCCAGCAAAAGCCCAAATGACACCACTTTCTCTTGTCAGCCAACATCTAAAAGGGTATAAATAGACTCAAAATATTAATTTCGTTTCGTCTTTGTTTCTGATAACCATCTCATACTGAAGACTGGTTTGATAATGCTTTGAAATTTTTATCAACATTCTTTGATAATCGATCTTATTATTCTAGAAACAAAATCTCTAAAAATTTTGATTTCAATATTCTGCTTAGCGGAAACAATCGTGCTATTTTCATTTTGAGACGGTGTAACATCTTCTGATCTTTTGTCAAAGAAAAGTTTTAAAATGATTCGATAGAGCGATAGATGATTTTTCTCAAATTTGTAAAGGTTATGCGGAATATCGGAAAACATTTAGAAGCATCAGATTTTTTGTCCCATTTCAATATGAACAGATGTCAATCAAATATTTCAAACCATTAAGAAATTAATTTCGGGGAAATACACCAGTCAATCGATCTATTGTTTAAAGCTACAAATCACATGAAAAATACCACAGATTAAATATCTGATCAAACACTCAATCTGCTGATGAGCTCTAGGTTTATCATTATCAATCTAGGGCTCTTTATAGCAGATCTTAAGCCATAGTGGGAAGCAAGTATCCATTTGTTCTTATAAACCTGTTAGGGCTTGTAGGAATATCCAGAGCAATTGTTGACGCGAATTTTGTGTCATTTTACTTCCTTAGGTTTCGGCTTGCAACTTTTAGAAAATATCTTGATTGAAAAAAGATTAGTTTTCCATAACAAATAGATGTAACTCCTAACTAGTTTGCAAAACACCTTGCTATAAAGCTGTGCTATATATCTTAGTGAGAAAGGTTTCGAATGGCATTCGATAACATCGTCGTGTCACCACCTGTATATATACTTCATTGCAGTGTAAAGGCAAAATCCCTTACATTGACTAAATTATACCATATGAACTAGAGGCAATTGCATGCTTAAACATTTCTATTTCGTCTTCTGTAACTTGCAGAAGAGCATATTGCATGAACTTTTTTAGGGAAATTTTAGGGAAGCTAATGCACAGAGTCCGTCGAAATCGTTTCTGAATTTTCTACAATCGTCGAAAATTTGCTAAAATGATGTTACATAAATGGTTTATTGAGAAATAGTGATGCAAAAAATTCTAGGAAACAATACTGAAAATCTTAGAAGAGTTAGGCAACAGCGTGCCTTGTAGACAGTAACCAGAGGTAACAATTAAGTTCTTGTAATTAAACCAGGTTCGCTCATAGGTTCACTTCTGTCCCTTGATCCCAAGATGTGCACATAAAATTACCATAAGATTGGATGTCTAAGGTAATATGTGCTTAGATTTTCCAGCTATTGCTTTCTCGATTTCTTTTCTCGGGTATGAAGCATACCTTATATCATTCAGTTTAATTTTATAAACATTATTACCTCGTGCAAATAAGTACAATAATAAAACTAGCTTTTGATTAGCATAGTAATAGATATTTTGTTACTAATAGTCTATCAGTTAGCGTAAATTTAATTTTAAACAGGAAAATAAGAAAACATGTGTTATTCAGAAACTTTTTAGTCTGCATTATAATTTTTAAAAGAAATTAAAATGAAATTGAAATGAAAATAAGAAGAAAATGAGAACTTCAAGGTAATACTCACGCTTCCTCGTACCCATAATGCTCGTTAAGTGCTGCAAAAATGCACCCAACAATGAATGCAGGAATTCCTAAAAAGCAACAGGGCATCAGTAGAAAATTTTGCATTCGAAGCACAAAATGAATCTACGATAGGAGAATACGCTGTCGGAGAAAAGAAAATCGGGATAAAGAAAGTCGGGGAAAAATGGATCGAGTAAAAATTCGACTACTTTTCTACGACTAAATTTTCGAATAAGTAACTAATCCTCTATAAAAATTTCAAGTATGTAATATGTTTTAAATTCGGTTACTCAGATTAACAGCATTTCTTTATAACATAAGAACCAGCTATAAAGACAATATTTTATTCATTCGAAAGGAGAAAAGAGGGTGTAAAAAATCTTGGGGAATTACTAATCAGGTAAAAAATCGAGGAAGAAAAATCTAGCCATTTCTCTCCTTTTTCCCTGATAAGGTAAATGTGAACAGCTATCTTTCAAGATTGCGCGGAGAAGATTTGTCTTAACGTAGTTTGAATTTTTTCTTAGTATTTTCCAGCCTGATCCCGTTAATAGGTTGTAAAACTTTCTACTGTCTTGCAAAATTGTGAAAAAGCAAGGAAACAACAGCTATATATAAACTCTGTATGACAAAGCTACCAGTTTTAAAAGAAATTTGAATGGAATGGTCAAGCAAGCATATAAAGAAGATACATTTTAAGACGTAACGAATAAGCAGGTACCAGTTTTGTATATGAAGAAAAATCTAACGCGTATGTCAAGTAATTCCACTTTTTTGCTCTATTGTTCAGATTTTAAGAATGAAGGGCAGTTCTTAGCCTGCGTGCAGACTTTACTTTCCGTTGCGAAGGAGCAAAATTAAAATTAAAAATCAAGGCGCAAAATGTCTGCATTTGGATTGAAAACGCTGAATCCTTCCACCAAATTTCCATCGCACTTTAAAACAGTTCGATATTGTCCGTGATGCTTCGTGTTTGCGGGGCCAGCCTATTGCGCAAGATTGAGCTCCTCTTCGCAGGAGAGCTTTAGCTCTCAGAACTCAATAACGGGCGCTAATTCGCAGACTTTACAAGTTCCGTCCTGGCTCTCCTTCGCAACGGAAAGTAAAGTTTGCTCGCAGGCTAGGCAGTTCTTGACTCTGATTCATAGCGATAAGTATAATTCAGCATGCATGAAAAAGAGGTGTGTATGAAAAATGCTAGTTCTTGACGTATTAAGGCATTTCCAGACCCTTTCATGTACCATTACTGATTATTGGCATTGCTAGTATCTAATACTAAATACTTTTGTGTTCTAGCGTAATTAGAAAACCAACAGGACTATTGCTTTACAAACTGAATCGTGGATGTACTGCATAAAACCTATTGATATAGCATTAACGGATTGAATACATGTGAGGGCAGTCTGTCAGATCCAGATGACCAGCAATGCGGTTTCATATGATAATTGCGCAATTATACTAATTATACCATTGTCACTCTCTCGGATATCGGCAAACGTTTTTTAGATTACACCCCATTTTTTCCCGTGAAACATGACCCAACCATTAAGAACGTTAAACCCCATCACGGGATAAGAAGAATTAGTTTGACCGTGACAGAATAATCTTTTAAGGACGATGATGATCAAAAAAGGGTTAAAAGCTACCCCGAAACGACATTTTTTCAAGTCCCGTAAATTGACGAATCGACGAGATCAATAGCGTCTTAAAATGACAAGATCACTTTGAAAGAAATGTCTTTTTACCCGCTTAAATGTATTAACAGCAAGATTATGATTACTGACAATTGAACTTTTTGTGACAGTTTGCAATAGACAGCTGTTTCCAAAGGAAATGTTATCGAAAATTTGCAGCAAAGTCCATGATAGGGTTTTACAGTTAGAAAAAACTGACAAATTTAGTTTCTCCAATCATTTTTAGTCTTAAAATGCTAAAGTGCCATTTGGCATTGAAATATATTTGAGCAAAATGATCTTCTCTAAACAACAGTCAATTGATCAATAAACAAAAATACATGCTCAATAATACTTAATACTGGACAAGAGCATTAAACCTTTTGCTCGACTATGGCAAGATCTGTCAACTCTTGCTAAAGCTAAACCAAACTACAAAACTGGAAAGTGAGATTGTCATTGAAAATTTTTCTTTAACAAATAAATTCAACATCTCGCTACATCTAACTTCATATATTGCCTGATGATTGCATTAAACATGAAGCATTGAACGGCAGCTAAAAATGGTCCTGTTCTATACACCAAAAGTGTGCACAGCACTCCCTGTACGGCATCGAACACTTTATGACAGACGCGTAAAAAATTATTTTCATACTTTCACTAGAAATTTTCATACTTTCATACTCATACTAACACTAGAAATTTATTAATAATCTCTTTAAAATAACACTTCTTTTTTCTGACTTTCTAAGTGAAACTAAATCTTATAAGCTAAAAGATAAATTTTTACTCTTGGTATGAATGTTAATTTATAAATTCAAGAAACGTATAGCAAATTCTAACCTACTTACCCCATCCAATACAACAATACAAAAGGAGGTTCCGGCTGGTGTTAAAAACCCTCTTGGTCATACGGAGAATGAAGAAGCCCTCCACAAACATCCAGCAACCAACAGCTAAGTAGAGATAGTGCAGCAAAACGGCAACAAACTTGCAAACGGCCTAAGATTCGGAAACATTACATGTTTAGTTGTTAATTTGGGAACATGTGCTTGGGATTCGGGAGATTTTATCAATGCAAGACTAAAAGAAGATGATTGGAGACGATGCAGCAAGAGGAGGTAGGTAGATTGAAGAGGAAATATAGAAAAATTGGGAAGATATCATGGAAGACTTGCAGGAGGAGACATCAGTTGTAGGAGGATAGTTGGAGCCAACCAAAGGAAACAGATTGCAGACAGTTGTTTTGATTAAAATTTGAATTGAATACAAAATAAGATTGTAAAACCTTGCATGCAAGCAAAACGAATATAACTGATTTTATTATGAGGGAAGTAGAATCCAGCGACGAGGAAAGGGGAAAAAACAAAAAATGAAAGTTTAATAATAACGACAACGACAAATGTACGACACAGCATGGTAATTTAAATTAAGAGACAATTAGGATTATTTCAAGACGGGAATGAGCTATTCAAAGTAGACAGAAAAGTCTATGAGATTTTAAGAGTGAATAACAAAAAACTTAGAATAAGAAGAATTGAACGAAACAGCACGAGAAGGCAAAAGAAAAATGATTTTAAATATAAGTGAATGGAAAGATATTAATTGAGAGAAATGCAGAAAAACACTGAGAATAAAATAAGAATAGCTGAAATATTCAAAAAAGGACAAACTGGCAAAAGACTAACTGCAATGTGCACGCCCCGTTCGTAAAAATGTAAAATGAGATGTTAAAATGGAGGTACAACAAGGAAATGAAACTCCATTATCTATACCTACCGCCTATCAATTATTTATATGCAAGCTTTAGGCTCATGATTGAATTAAAATTTCATTTGAATAAAAACGTAAGGAAGTAAGAAACGTTTTATACCTTGTTTTGAGTAGATTTGATTGCAGAAAGAAATGCAGTTTGTGCAAATAAAATTGCAAGGCAAAGATTGAAGTGTACGAAGTTGTTCGGCCTAGTCAAAGTTCTGCGAAAAAAAATTTGGTTTACTAGAATGTCGTAGTAACTTTCGGAACTTTTATACAGACCTAGACATAAGATGTCAGCTTTTATCAAAGTATGAGTACAACTAAATACATTAATATCAAGATTTTGGAAATGTGCTGTTAAAACTATTTATTTTTCAGGGTTTCCTCTTAGGAATCATGGTTACAATTAAGCAATCCTATATTTCTTGCTTTACATTGAAACCTGGGAAACAAACGCCAGAGCTTTTAGTTCAGGGTGCATTATCAGGGTGCTTCAATATATGTTCTGGCATAAGAATTTCATACATAACAAACTAAAGGCACACTCAAAGATTGAAAAATTTATGTACTGTCTTAAGATTTAAAAAATGGTACAGTCGGACCTTGATGTATCGGGAACTGCTTATTCCGAGCTCCCATTATCTTGAACATTTTTTCTGTTTCCCTTGACTTTGTTTTTCTTTATGTATAGGAGAAATTTTGGATAATTCGAACTCGAAGTACGCTTAATTCGAACAGAATCGCCCCAAAGAAAACCAAGAATAAACCAAAGGAATTTACCAACAATGCAAAGAGAAACGTTTAATGAATAGAAAATTATAAACAATGCCTCACCTGGATAATAAGAAGGAAGAAATAGTGATGAAAATGCCAACGTATGACAATGCGAAACATACATATGTTATGACGTTGATAGTAAACAGCTCACTCTGGCTGATCTATGATTGAAAAACATTACAATTAGAGAACCCTAGAAAAAGAAGCAAGACATATCGTATATAAATATATCGCTTAAACGTGTGCAATCTTGTCTAAATTTGCAGAAATTTGAATAAGATATAAGCCTCCGAAAAACCATGGGTCACCCTAACAATCAACCCTGCCTTTTTGACAAAGAAACTTAAATCTGAAAATTGCAAAAAATCATGTCCTCAAACCTGAGTTGACCATAAAGTCGTAGCCCTAAACAGCTTTATGCATCGACGATAAGACATAAAGCTCAAATCAAGAGCCTATATGGAGCTAATCAAGCAGGGCATTTTTTAACATATAAAGTGATGGGGAAATTCCCCACCAGCCCTTTTCATTGCCCAACCAGTGGAACATGTTTGCCCCAGCACTTAAGTGCCCTTATGATTCGGTGACTTTTTTACTTTTTACTTTATTTGAGATATTTGTGGATGAAATCTTCATTGAACAGGTTTCAAATCTCAATTCATTTTTCCCTGGAACTGCTGCTTCTATAGGTGATTCCCCTAGAATATTTTTGAAAGCCTGTTCATCTGTAAATTCTGCCTTTATCTATATGCCCTTTTCTCAAATTAGAAAAAGTTAATCAGATTTTTTTATCGTTTTTGGCTACTCATGTTCTAGAAATCTTGATTTCAACTGGACATTTGAGAGTGGTAAAAGCGAACTCGTACTTACTGGTTTCTTTTCGTCGGGGATAACCTGCATTAAGGAGGCAAATGTAGTAAGGTGGTAGCAATGGCAAGTCGTCTCGTTGATGTTGCTTGCTACTTTGAAACAACCTTCTTTTGACCAAGTATTCAGCCTGTTGGGATGAATGAAATGAGATCATCATATACATTATTGTAAAAGAGTAAGACTATTTATTTGGGAAATAAAGCCAAAGGGCCCGGAAAGCTGCAGCACAATATTTTCCTTGAAGTTTTGCCCAATGGCAATAGGTTGCCTAACGATAATGCAGTTTCGTCGTAATATGTCTGTGCATCGTGGTTTGAGTTTCAAAGAGTTGTTAAAAAATCAGAGACATGAGCTCTGAAATAAGACCACGATCTCTTAAAAGCAGTAAAAATGCAGTTCGGACAGTAAGCGAGACATTCTTCAAGCTAAGGAGTTGAGAAAGCTAGAAGTCACAGTCAAAGTATTAATGGAACAATGATAGGATCTGGTGAGCGTAGGCTTGAGCCCAGATGAATAATACCAAAACCAGTCTAGTTGCTATGGCTTGTAAGCTTTGTCAACGCTCCACCTTAACAAAGAGCCCTCTTTAACTCTTCTATCTAACCCCTAATTTGCTATTCCTGATAAATACCGGTTCTGAGAACATAAATTCTTTCATACCTTAGATTAAAAGCTTAAAAACTTAAATCAGCTAACCTTTTTCCCAAAAAAGTGAAGAAAAGGAAGAAAAGAGAAGCAGAAAGAAGAAAAGAAAATAAGAAAAAGTGGAAAAAAGAAATTCCTTACGTCACATTCCAAAACACACAATCGTTTTCTTCTCGCTGCTGCTCCTGGATGTAAAAGGAAGTCAAGGTTTACTTCAATAAGAACATTACAAGCTTTAATCTTTAAACCGGTGTGCAATCTATAATTCTAGCAAATATTGCTTATAGATCCAGTGTTATCCTACCACACAAAACGTAAGATCTTATACCATGAAGCGGTCTGGCATCATAATTGCAGGATGGCTAGCAAACCAAAAGGGCCCAGTTCAGGGTGTGACAGATAAACTTTTTTGAGCCACACCCATTAATGAAAGCACAGCCTAAAATACGCTCAGTCCAAACCAATTATTAATTGGTGCTCATTTTTTTCATTTTTTCATTGTAATTTTCAATTTTTTAGGCATTGATTCTATTAACACTATTTAAATCTATTCATACTAATGCTGTACACTATCTGAATCCAGAATTCTATACAGTTTAACAATAACAGCAAAACAATAGTTGTTTATCAACATTTTACTCTGATGAAGCCCTGTATGCCGGGGCGAAATATTAGCATTCGATTAATTGAATTTATTTTGGAAAATTTATCTCATAACATTCTTTTCTCGTCGCCGTTTTGCTTTGTTTCTGAATTTTATCCTCGTATTTAAAACAATAGTTCTTGGCTACAATTTATAACTAAGTAACCAATAAAATTATTCATGCTAAAACATCATTGAGAGAACTTAAAATGATACCGATTATTTAGTCTGTACCAAACTTTATAAACACATTGTTCATTAAACAATTAGCAAATAGAAAAACTTCACTATAACTTTTCAACATGCACCTTTCAGAGGGTGTCAGAGAAAAGAAGAATTTAAAGGGAAGCCGGGAAAGGTCTTTGTCTGTTGCTTGCTACTTTAAGGGAAGAAACATTGGTGGAAAGGAACTTTCGAGGGAAGAAACTTTTGCTTTTTTAGCGTTTTTTAGCGTTTTTAGCGTTTTTTAGCGTTTTTAGCGTTTTTTAGCGTTTTTTAGCGTTTTTTAGCGTTTTTTAGCGTTTTATAGCGTTTTTAGCGTTTTTTAGCGTTTTTTAGCGTTTTTTAGCGTTTTTAGCGTTTTTTAGCGTTTTTTAGCGTTTTATAGCGTTTGATACGCGAAACTTCTTGGCTGCTTTTTCTCTACTACTGATTGACTCTTAGAAAAACTCGTTAGTGGACGAAAATAGGGGATAGATGAAGAGGAAAAATTGAATTTCTTTGATATTCAAACAGAGACAAAAAAGAAACTTCACCCTAACTCTTAACACTAACTTTGTGTGTTTTAGGTACACAGGAAGATTTAGGCCAACGATATAACAAACGTTTTATCCCCAGGTTTTACCCACAAAAGATCGTGCAATTATAAGATATTTTCGTAATGAAAAACGAAGGGACAAATAGTTTCATATTTTGACAAAAGATATTTGTATGAGAAATCGAAAGTATTTCCTCTTAATACAAAACCTATTACGATCTATAGAGGCCACGTGCAAGTGGTTCTTGAGAACCCATGACCAAAGTCGTGTGGCCTTTCTTCTTTGTAACTGTAATTAATCCAATCAGATGAAGTAAAAAAGTCATCTGCACAAAAATATCGCTTGATCCCTAAGACTAATTAGGGAATTCATGATGATAATAAACGATATTAGTTGATTATATTAGACAGTCCTAAATATATCTCATTTTCTTTGCGTCTACATTGCCTGTAATTATTCCTTAGAACACATTGTAGCTAATGCAAAACTTTGGAAAATCATGGTTTCCGTTGAAAAAAGCCGACATTCCATTTGTGTCTGCGGGGGGCTACACCCAAAGTTTGAATACTGGGTAAAGCCAGGAGTGTGGCGCTGACGAAAGAGTAACGAAGGTCTCGAAGAGGCATCTTAACTACAATGCCTGCCAAAAATCTTGGAACACTTACATCAATTTCCAAGGTCAAAATCAATCATCCCCCTCTCCCCTACGGAACAATGTTGGTTTACTATCAAACGGGTTAGGATTTTAGGAAGCACTTTCTTTTGCGCTTCTTTTATGATATTTCTCTAAATCATCAACATTGTTTTAGGGGGAAGGGGGCGGATGTAGCAATTTTTTTCATGAAAGGAATGAAAGATATCAAAAGTACTTTTGGCAGGCATTGTAGATAAAAGCAGAAATTTTAACATGGCTACATTTTGGTATTAACGCGAGGGTAAGGGCTGAGCCCCCAACACAACCTAAGCAATAAGTCCCCATGAAATGCCATTTTCTATGACAAAATCTGCTAACAAGAGACGCGCTTTCAATTGAATTTTAAATTTTATTTCGGACATCAAATACTGATGTAAACCCACGATAAATTTGCACACATTTGATCTTAGCAGATAAAACTTCAAATTCTGATGTGAGCCCGCGTCATATTTGCAGGATATAAATGTAAGCACGTCCCCCGCAAGGAAGTGTGGAGACTACCCCCTGATAACTTGTCAAAATTAGACTGACATTACAGGACCAAATAGAAACAAGGTGAAATCAAAAGTTTCAACGGGGTTTAGATAATTCTAAACGGCGAAAATGCTTGCATTATATCAGGTACAAAAAGTCAAATTATTTTGCCCCGAATAAGGTCAAATTTTTTCAAGCAATGTTTGCAATATGCATTTTTCGATTGGTCCTTTCAAGCAATGATTGAAAGGTACTTTTCCGTTTTTTTTAAGGAATTGACGAAGATCGCCACGTCATAAACAAGTCATTGTCATAAAAAGAAAAATTCTCTGTTTCGAAAAATCTTTGAAAAATAAAAATTTCTGTTTAGATACAATTTTTCTCTCGATAGAATCTTCCGTTTCTTCCTTTCGAGAAGTTGTTGTAACATGTTTCTCTCCTTCGAGCAATGATCAAAATGCTTCTAATAAATCTTTGCTGAGATAAATGAAACAAATGCGACAATACCTCGCGTTTGCTTTGGAATGACATCACAACAGGCTGGGTGAAGTTAAGATCTTCATAGAGAACAGAGAACGTCATAACATCAGAGTCAAGCATCCACGTTGTTGATCTGCCGAGCAAAATGCTGTTATATAATGGATCGTAGCTAAAAATATTTAAAAATCAAGGAAGAAACTACCAGCAAAGAATGAAAGAAAAAAGAATATTTCACTGGAGAGAAGCCTTTTTGTTGCTCTATGGTGATGACGCAGAATTTAATGAAAGTTTAAATTGATAATAAAACATGAAGAAATCAGATGAAATCAAGAATCGTTAAAAAAACAAAGCAGATAATGCAGGTTCCGATGAATTCACATAAATAGAAATGTAAATAGAGACAGCTGGGATGTTTGAGCTGCATCCTTGACTGTTATCTTAAATAGAATGAACGATAAACATTCATAGCTCGGTTTGCGATCATGTACCAAACAGACAGGACAAGTTTATTCCGGTTTCTTTAAAAGAGGAAAAATCCAGCATTGAAAAGCGAAAATCGATACGCTATGGGTGTGTGCTGACGTTTCATGGTTCCTTTGAAATGAAATAGTACTTTTGACGTCAAGTGCAAATCCAATTTAGGTACATTTATCACGCCATTTTCCCTTTTAGTCTATATTAGTCCGTTTGTATACAAAATCTTTTTTAGAATGCAATGGCTTTGGCATTCAAACTAATGGCCACCTAAATAATTCCTCTACCGATTAAAACAACAATTTCAAAGGAATGGGAGGTAAACAAAAAATTAGAGAGGAGGGGGGGGTTAAAAATTCCAAATTCTTAGTGAATAGCAAGCTCAATTGAATTTTGCATCAATTTAGGACATATAACTTGTGCCCAATTCTTCTGAATCGAAGAAAATACAAATAAAATTTTCTCCTCTCCTGTAGGATTGAAATAGGGCTCGATTTGCCTACGTCGCAATTATGCCTAGGAATTCGATGCCATTCTGCTGCTTGGAAGGGTTTAAATCTGGGGTTGGTTGACAAGGTATTGTTCATGACTCGCCAAGTGAGGTGATTTACAGAACTGGGCCCCAAAAAAAATTTTCTGTAGCCATGCCTTTCAGTTTCCCGGAAAACTAGTGAAACTCCCTTTTAGCTACAATCGTTGAAAAAATTTTTGTAAGGATTTTAATGAGATTGTGAAAAAACACTTTACATGAATCAAGGACACGTGGACATTTCTCTGCGATAAACTTACAGGCGTTGATTCCGTATAAGTAGCTTAAATAGTAGCTTTATCATTGTGAATAGATCTGATTACATTATTACGGGCCCCATCGGAGTACGGGCCCCGCGCCTTTTGCCCCTCCTAACGCCCCTGGCCTAAGCACAAGCTTGTACCACCTGGGCAATCCGTCCCTTTCAAGAATAAAATTTTCGGAAGAAGACTGGATCGAGGTAAGCAGACAAAGATCTGATTATGTTAAACAGAAAGGTCTGGGACTAGTTAAGAAAAAAGAGTCAACAAGCTAGGCCCCTTAGTCCAGATGGCGGTATTTCAACTTTAGCAAAGCAATGTCAAATTTAGTGAAAGAATATATAAAACTAACGAGTTTCCAAGCGTGACTTTCTTGTTCATATTGTTAGCATCTTCTATGCTGCTATACGCAATACCAATGGTCGCTGCAAAGTCAGATGATGTGTTTGCAACTAAAGAAACGAAAAAAACTTTAGAACGAGCTAAAAAAGGGTCGCAATGTTAGCCCAATACCTTTTATTCTCGCAAGTCGAGGTAACAATATCTGCAATATGTTAGGGCATAAGTGTTCTTTAACTTTCATGATTCAGTGCTGGATAGTCTACCGATTTGAATTAACAAAACTGAGATTTTCACTCTACTAAGCATGTAAAATATCAAATAAACTGATATTAAAAATAAAGCAAAATATTTCCAACAAAAACTTCGAACTTGATAATCTAGTGATCAACAACCAAGCATTACTTATCATTAAAAATGTATCTAGATATAAACTTTTCAGAATAAATTATCAATTGTCAAATGTTGTCTGCATTTAATTTTTTCTGCATTTTCTTAACAATCTTAGCAGGCATGTTTATGAAAAATATTGGAAGTGAAGGATTTGATAATTCTGGCTATGATATTCTAATAAACGAAATATAAAATTTTTCTGCTACATAATATCAAACAACATTTCTTATAATAAATTTACTTTTACACCGCCCAGATATAGTATAAGAACTTGCAAATATTGCCTATGATTTGCAAGAAATAAATTCTGAATTTGTTTAGCAAAGACATCAGTAAATTTGACACCTTTTAATAAGGCATTTGTCACTAAAGCTTTTTCACAAAAGGCTTATTGTGAGGCTTTTTCGCAAGGATATTTTTTGCTCAGGCATCTACGAACGCATTTTTGCTAAGACATTAATTAATAAAGCATTTCTTCAGCAGGGGGTTTTTCACCAAGCAACTTTCAATGTGTCCATTTTCCGCTCTTGCATTTCTAGCTAAAAAAATTTTCACTAGAGTAATTCTTGCTTAGAAATTTACCACTGAGAGCACTTTGCGGCAGATTCAGCGAAGCTTTGTTCCCAATTGAAGTGAAGACCTGGCCTTGGAACACGGATACTGTGAACTTTCGAATCTGCATTTCTAAAAGGAAAGAAAATGTAAACTTCTCAATTTCCACAGTCAAATACTTTTAACGAATAATTCACGATAACTTGAAGCCTAATTAAGCATCAAAATCTTCATTTACTGATTACAAAATCTATTCTCTGAAATATGCACTTCCTTTATTGATTTTTCTTTTAATCTTTATAAGAATGTGCCGTTCAACAGCAACATTAGTTTTGCAATATTTTGGTCTCGCTTCTATTTTGGCCTCTTGTTGGAACAAGAGTTCTATTGTCATATATCGCAATAACCAGCCAAACAGACAGGAATGCACTTCAATGCTTTCCTTTAGTACTACTTTTTAAGTGAAGCAGATTATAGCAAAGCTTTCTTCCTGCCATAAACCCTTATTATCGATTAAAAAACATGTCATCATGAGGTGGAGTACTCCCATAAAATTGTATTCTAGAGATTTACAATCATTGCTAAAAGTACTTGGAACACCAATCAATTAGCATTGTGTATTTCCACACCCCTTCCCCCTAAACAATGTTGATAATTTAGAAAAATATCATAGAAGTCGCAGAAAAAACCTATTTCTGAATCCAATCCGTCGTTTTGTAGATAACCAACATTATTCAAACGGGGGGAGGGGGGAGGGGGAGAGGTGGAGAGGAATAGCTGAATTTGCCCTTGAAAACTGACGTTAGTTTACCAAGACTTTTGGCAGGCATTGTAGCTATCTTTTATAAAGAAACAATTAACAGTAGGTTCAATGCAAAAATTAACGCAGAAGAGACGTTTAGCAAAACAACTTACTGCAGCTATCGACCTGTGTATCTTCTCGGCATGGTTTTTGCAAATTAAAGGGTCTTGTGCAACCAGCATGCTTAGCGGTAGTTGTCTTGAGAAAATTTACCGTTTTTTGTATTTTAATGCAGTACGAAATTTGGCCAGTTTTGAAAATATAGTCGCAAAGCATGCCGGTTGCCCAAGAGCCCTTGAAGTGAATGTTTGAAATGGAACAAAAGATTTAGTAAGGGCGTTTTGGCTGAACTTACTCATAACATCGGTCTGTACAGTTTCAGTAATATCGGTTTGGTTTGAGTTAAGCAGGTCTCTTGCTGCCTTTAATCCAACTTTCTCTAATTCCAAGACGGGGTTTGCGCCAGCAGCTGTGTTCTATTGAAACGAAAAGATGGGATTAAACATTTGGATTAGACTGCTTGACAAAAAGATTCAATAGCAAAAAGACGAAAGGCATCCCTACAGGGAAGGTAGACTGAGAGGCCATTCGTAGTGGCAAGGAGAATAATACGATGAAAATGATTATGATTTTTATTATGATTGTGATAAATACGATTATGATTATCATTATGGCGATCCCTGTAGAAAGCACCTTTCAGACCTTATACAGATTAAATGAAGGAATTATAATTCAAATTTGTGGAATGAATACACTTAATAATGACGATAGGTAAAGAACAAATAATGACATACCTGCGTATATTCGTTTTTATACGGTCCAAGAGAAGGCGATTTCGCAAACATTACCTCCACAGAAGAGGAGACTGAGCTGGCCACTGTCATGTATAAGATAGAGACATGCATTACAAAGCTTTGACAATACGATCGAGAGATTTTACTTGAAGATGGTTGCATAAACATGGAAAGGGTAGAATGATTCCTATAGGATCTCTTGGAAACAATAGGGTATTCCCGCTTTCATGCCCCTATCTCAAAAGCCCATTAACCACCCTATGCACCTATCAAAGCTTTCCACTATACTCCCCAATTTTATGCAGCCATTTTCAGTCTCTCAATAACTTCAAATAAACAGAGTTCCATTGATTGAACTTAAACTACTTTTTCTGATTAAAGCTAAAAAACCAGCACATGGCACAAGCAGGATTTGCTTTTCCAAAAAGAGAGAATACATAAGGGACAGTGCAGCAAAGATGATAGCATAGACCTCTAATCTTGAAATGGCAGCCTGTTTCCGTTGCAGTGGAACAGATCATTGTAGCACCTGAATGGCATACATAGATATCTAATAACTATGAGCTACACATTTCAATACCAAGTCTGTATTTGATAAAAGGAATATGAACAAAGTATTGTCAATTTGTGTAGCGAAACTGAAACGATGTAAGCTTTACTAGGTTTAAGATTTTTTGCTAAATGGCCCTTATCCCTAAACAATGACATCGCAGTTTGATAGGGTTCAATTTCTCAGAACATAAATTCTTTGCAATTTTGCCCGGAGATCAATCAGGTAAAAGGTTTAGTGAGGGAGGGTGTGCCCTAAAATGGTTTTTAGTGAGGGAGGGTTTGCCCTAAAATGGTTTTTAGTGAGTGAGGGTTTGCCCTAAAATGGTTTTAGTGAGAGAGGGTGTGCCCTAAAATGGTTTTTAGTGAGGGAGGGTGTGCCCTAAAATCGTTTTTAGTGAGGGAGGGTTTGCCCTAAAATGGTTTTTAGTGAGGGAGGGTTTGCCCTAAAATGGTTTTTAGTGAGTGAGGGTGTGCCCTAAAATGGTTTTAGTGAGGGAGGGTGTGCCCTAAAATGGTTTTTAGTGAGGGAGGGTGTGCCCTAAAATCGTTTTTAGTGAGGGAGGGTTTGCCCTAAAATGGTTTTTAGTGAGGGAGGGTTTGCCCTAAAATGGTTTTTAGTGAGTGAGGGTGTGCCCTAAAATGGTTTTAGTGAGAGAGGGTGTGCCCTAAAATGGTTTTTAGTGAGGGAGGGTGTGCCCTAAAATCGTTTTTAGTGAGGGAGGGTTTGCCCTAAAATGGTTATTAGTGAGGGAGGGTTTGCCCTAAAATGGTTTTTAGTGAGACAGGGTGTGCCCTAAAATGGTTATTAGTGGGAGAGCGTGTGCCCTAAAATAGTTTTTGGTGAGGGAGGGGTGTGCCCTAAAAAAGGAATCGTGGCAATTCGAAAGCATTATTCGATGAAAACATATTGATATTTCATCAATATTGTTTTAGTGGTTGATTAACAATTTTTTGTGTCTTAAGCGAAAATTAATCATTAAATTTCAAACAATTTGCCCGAAGAAAGTTCCTTTCAATCCTAGAAAAAACACCAGCACATCGTGCGAAGCACAATGAATCCTCACCAATTTTAGTGCTACATACAGCCAAGGCACTCCTCCCACATTGCTCGTCGTCAAAAGTTCGAAAAGTCTCTCCGTTAACAGTCTTTGTTTTGGGCCACATCAGCACGCAGTACAAATTATTACTTGGTTCTCCCGCATGCCACTTCGTATCATTTGTAAACAGTGGGGTTCCATCGACCCATTTGTAAGGAGACTGCAAGAAGGTCGAAAAAGTAGGAGATTAACAAAAAGCTCTTGAAATTGCCTTTATTAAAACCAAGCTTATTGCACCTACGTTCACTTCGATAAGTACCCCTTAAATCTCAAAATTAGCTAGCTTTTGTGGAAACATCACGCAGTGCTATACGATGAGGTACTAAAGGCTGAAACAAATTTCAATGAAATATAAATCCGCTACCAAAGAACACTAAGAGAACATAAGCAGATAAAATGCTTCATAAAAGGTGCTAGTTTCTAAACATTAAGAACTTTGTTTTCTTTCATTTTCATGATTTCCTTTAGCAAGACTTACGCTCCAAATTTCTTTTGAATGAAATTCATTAAAGCCTACTCACTTTGTAGGAAAATTTGTTTGATTGACTTTTTCTTGAATCTATCTCTGATAAGAATTCTTCTCTTGCATTAGAGAATTGATAATGAGTCAGATCGCAATGGCACACAGAGGGAGACTACTAGCTATTTCTTGGGTAGTCAGACATAATAATGTTTCACGTCATAACAATCAAACGTAAAAGTATTTACTAAAATGGGCCTGTATTGCGTCTTTACTTGTAGCGTTCGTAATTATCGACAAGCTGCAACGTTCATTATGGATTTTACATATCAACATTACTATTTTACATATCAATATTTTTGTCTTTTTCGATTCGTGATGATTATTATAGCGTCTAATATCATCGTTAAATATTTTGGGGACTTTTTCTCTACGAAAACCGACGTAGAAATATAAACAGTGATATTTCATTTGCGATAAAGTATTACCACATAAAATGCTAGTTAACGAGCCAGAACTCGAACCACTTTGATCTTTTGTGAAAACTCACCCCGCTTCTAAAAGCTGCTAGCCATATTTTGTATTGGCCCTTGCCCGATGCAATCAACGCATGCGTAATGAGTTGTGCTGTTTCAATATCTTTAACAACCGGTAGCCTCATGCTTGAGTGCAATGACTTGCAGTGGTTATTTGCTGCACTCCAACTTCCAACAAAATTTGTCACCACAAAACAAATCTTTGAACCCTTGTACGTCCATGGGTATTCAAAAGCACACTTTTGTCCTAAAAGTAAAATTTGAAACAAAAATTAGCTATTTTGAAAAAGATGAAAGACTGATCATCTTGTAAATATACACTTTGAAATCCAGACTTAGGGAAATCTTTTCTAATTAAAAAGCTTTTTCTATGATGCCTGATTCTTCAAAAAATCCCCTCACAAACATTTACCATTTACCACATTAGCAGCGAAGAAAAATACATCTCAAACTATTTAAATACAAACTGAAGATATTTGCAAAGAAGCTAAACCATCTAATTCACAGCAACTTCTAAAAAATGGATTGTAATAAAAATTTTTGCACCAATGCTGGTATCCCAACTTAACAATCAACCTTACGAACAAAGAAATGTTTGCTAGATCAGAAATGTCATTGTAACTGACCTTGTGTGAGATGTACCAGGATCTAGAAGGAGGAAACAAAATAGCTATTGATTGTATTTAGTAAAAAGTATTTGTAAACAAAACAATGCACAGGTACGAAAATGTTACTCTTTCTGTCTAAAACAAAGGTATTTTCCTTGTGCCATACTTATATGGTCTCTAGACAGATGAAGCATCCGAGAGAGAGGCAATAGTCCTTTAAACCCATAAACCTGGTTTTGAGGAAAGTTTAGGCCAAAATAACGAGGTTTCGTTACCAAAATTTTATATCCTTGTCCTTGGTCTTTTAATTGTGAAAATAAGTCATGAATAAAACTTAGAACAATTTAAAATCATGTCAACAGCACCATGGTGGTGATACTTTGACAGAGGAAATACTTTAACAAGCTTGAATCGTCAAAATAATGAAAGAAAGAAAATCCAAGAGGAATTATGGTGTGTCAGGAAGTGCTATGTTTGAAAAACTGGGAAGGAACTTTATGCTATGCTAAAACAGATAAAGATCATAAGACGCTCTCTAATTAGATGTTTTTGTCTTGTACAAAACACGCCTCAGTATTTTGCGTTGAAATCAGGAAGTCTTAGGCCATATTGCAAGTTTAAAGGAATGTAAACAACTTTTAACGCCTTCCAAACGACAAAATCTAAAGCTCTACCACATAAGACTGGTTCTAAATCCTTATCACGTAGCTTGGTCTTGGTCCTCGAAGACCTGAGCGTTTTCTCACTTGGATACTGTGTTTCCTGGGGCTGCTTTTGAATGGTTCAATGGAAAAATAGAAACACCTTGAATGTCGAGCAATAAAGGAATGAATGCACTCTAGAGATCGCACTGGTGCCTCAAAATGTTTTTGATTGAAGATTGTGATGAACAACTACAGGATACCTATACATATATTTTCAAAAATCAATAGTTTTGGCTCTAAATTTTTTGAGTGATTTTCACTGTGCGAGTTTCCTAAAAGATTCTTGATTTATAAGATGGTACTTAAAACCAATTGCTGCTAAGTAAAACAATGATGGGTAAATAATGAGAATTTGGGTAAGACTAGCCTTTTTACAAAGTAAGACTCATTGCTGCAAACTGCATGACTGCATCATTGCTGTGAACTCCCTAATACCAGCATCATTGCTGTAAACTTCAGTGTATATTGTATTTGTAATTAGTTACATTTTCTCATATGTTTGCTTAAAGTACTGTTGGTTATGGTGTAGTCACTGTTCTTCATTGCACCGTTCATGTAGCGTAGTATAGTAATTTGTTAAGCATAGTAGAATGTCATGTATGTTTTTTAATCATTTATTTGAATACATTATGGAGCACATCAAACTACAAATTTAAAATTCTTTGCTGCACAAAAATTTATTACAATGCCAAAATAGCTTTGAAAGACCATCGAAATCAGCTCAAGATTACAGAAACGTGAAGAGAACACAATGTCCTCCCAGCCCAATCAGCTGTTTACTCATTTTTTGGCATTTAACTTAATCTTTAGGATTCCTTCTTTGTTAAAATATTAAATATGTGTTTTTTCGCAATTCGCATATTACAGAATTGTTTTCTGAAAGATAACATGTAATGCAAATCTCGTCATAATCCTTCCAGATTTCGACTGATATTCGTCAACATGGAAGTTATGATGACTTTGTGGACAAGATTGTACATAAGATGAAGTGGCCTTACCTTTAATACGGTTAGCCACAATATTGAGTTCGGTGTCTTCATTGTTGCAGAGTTACGTTTTCATGATTACTTTCTGAAACGATGAAACTCTTTTAGATGTATCGAATTTATGGGAAACATTAGAACAAAGAATACTAAAAAAGTGTAAATGATTTATGCGCTTATCATCAAAACACACAAAAATTTGCGATTTCAACAAACGCGCAAAAACAAAAAAGAGAAAATAAAGCTTTCTTTAAACATTAAGATATTAATTATGAATTTAAGGAAATTGTAATTGATGAGATTGAAAACACAAACTTTAAAATTTACACTGCTATTAGCTTTTGCTAAGAAGTTTAGAAAAATCAAGAATATAGAGTGTGTTCGACAAGAAAACGAGTGTTACGAGGAAAATTAAGTGTTTTTTGTTTGTACAATAAGGACTAAAGCACGTGGCCATTGGTTCAAAAGCACATTGACGAGCATTGCAAAAGGAGGTGCAGCAATTCTATTAAAGGTTCCGGTATATTAATCGTGTGCAACATTCCATTGATCTAAACACCTGAAAAATATGCCCTAGCAACTCTTTCGGATATGCCAGTTAAAGTATCTCCATCAACCTCCCTTGGATCTTGCCGAGTTAATGAAAAACGATGGGACCATTGGCGAATTGATGGCATAGGCGATGCCAATGCTCGCTTATACTCTACAAAAAACAGCGTCCCAAATGGGCTTAATCTTAGCAAACCAACTGATGTATTCAAACTTTGAGACTGAAAATTTGTGGGCTAATTCATCAGCAATCGATTTTCAAGGTAGCATAGCGATTGTCACTTATAACCGAATCTCTATTAAAATCTGCGAACAAAAACAAATGCTGCAACATATCGCAAGCGATTGTGAATAGAAATTTTGGGTGAGAATGTATGATTGGCAACGATCTGTGTCTCATTTACAAGACCCACGTCTCTTTCTAGGCAACAAAACCCCTAGAAAGTTTGACAACTTGTAAACGGAGCTGTCAACAATTAATGAGACGCTGACATTATGATCAAATAATTTTTCCCAACGTTTGATGTACCTCAAAATTTTGCCGTATTTCTACACAACTTTTCAAGACAGAGACATTCGAAATAGGGATTTTCAAAAGGCAACATGTTGAAAAACGTATTACCGTGAAGAGGGACTGTATTCGGTATCAGATTGTCGAATAACGTTAGCATAAAATTACATGCTTTTGACCTGTACAGTTATAGATAGCTTTGCTGACAACTAGAATGCTAAAAGAGTTGAAGATCAGAAAAGCAAATGATATAAATCAAAAGCCTGCTCCCTTGTTCATTTCTTAAAAACTGTTTTACTCGTATCTTCAGATTCCACATCTACGACAGTAGTTCAAAAATCCATTATTAAAAAGTGTATATAATTCACCTGGTACTGCTCTCCGAAGATATTAAGCTGCTTATCTTTAAGATCTATTAAGCATGTATTCAGGCCCTTCACCTTTGAAAGGTTAGCTTGACATTGGAGGGAATGCTCAGGAAACAAGACGAATCATTAAAACGGAAACAGCAACTGTTCTAACCCTTTACAAAAGCAACCCAAATATTTCTTTCAAAAAATACATTACTCGACTGCGTCTGCCGACATTTCTCTGTTTTACTTGAATTTGTTTACACCTTTTTGCAACCTCGAAATTCTCAAAACTTTCTTATTAAACAAAAGGAAATAATTCGAATTATTTGACCAACCACAGAGCATTTCACATTTCCTAAACTTGATCTTGGTTTAACTTCAAAGTATACCGAGATTGAACATCGTGAAAGGGCATGGAGAAGAATGCCTGCTCTTTGAACATCTTGAAAGGGCATGGAGAAGAATGCCTGCTCTTTGAACATCTTGAAAGGGCATGGAGAAGAATGCCTGCTCTTTGAACATCGTGAAAGGGCATGGAGACGAGTGCCTGCTCTTTGAACATCGTAAAAAGGCATGGAGAAGAATGCCTGCTCTTTGAACATCGTAAAAAGGCATGGAGAAGAATGCCTGCTCTTTGAACATCTTGAAAGGGCATGGAGACGAGTGCCAACTTTTTGAACATCGTGAAAAGGTATGGAAAGAAATGTCTACTTTTTGAACACCGTGAAAGGGTATGGAAACGAACGTTTATTTGTTAAACGTTATAAGAAGAATGGAGGTTTAAGCCTGCTTTTTGGGGATAAGAACAAGTAAAAGATCCCTCGTCCTTCGATGTGCATGCGCAGTACTTATTGACGTCAATGCGCAAATTCTGTACATGAAAATACGGGGGATGACTAACCTGCTAGAACATAAACGCTCGTGGGCCTCTTAAACAACTATTGAAAGAAGCATGTAGCATTAATAATCAAAGATCGAGAGAATGAAAAACGGAAACCTATTCCACAAGTAAACGCAACTGAAGCAAATTAGTTTCGGATGCAACAAAAGCTTTTTTACAGAGAAAATATTTTCTTAGGAAAATTTTGCATCTCAAATTTTTGCGATTTTTGTTCTTGTTTTTTGATGTTTCAAATGATGGAAACGAAATGTAACACAAAGAAAATCTAAAATGTACTCTTGAAATTAGCAATAGCTAAAAGTACAAGAAAATCAGGCATTTCGTTTTGACAGAACCCTCAGGATCCCCTCAGAGAAAACAGAATGTATCCAATGACAAAGCTTCTGTTGCTACCTACAGACATTTCCACTTGGTTCGCTTGCTTTGGTTCTGCAATGGGTCCCTTTGGCATTTTGTTCCATGGCAATGTCGTGTATAAGCATGATAGCGAACATGAAAGCCATCCGAGTTGCTTACAACTGTTCCTAACCAATGTTTTCAAAAGCTGAATTGCAAAGAAGAACCACTAAAACAAAGCGGCATTGAATGAAAACACTATGTAATGAAAATGGCATTATGTATCAACAGCAGCAATGTAAATCATCCTCAAGGCAATCAAGGCGATTTAGCTTTGCAGCAGAAAAGCATCAAACACAGATACTACTTTGAGAAACCAGCAATGTGGGTTGTTGCCAGGCCAATAGCCCCTATCGCTTGCCAAGTTCCTGCGATTATCACTGCACCAATAAGGAAACTATGCCATCGCCCAAACCCTCTCCCAAAGAACATGCCTTGTTTGAAATTCACGCTACCTTCATGTTTTATAGCTTCATCTCATTTCATTTGATATATTTTAGGAATAATCCTAGAAAAGTTTCGAGGAGCTGATCCCACTTCCTAGGATAAGAAGAATTCGGCTTCTAACTCCGTTTGTGGTCCAAATCCTCGTATCCGTAGCAGCATAGAAGTTACAAAATTATTGCATTTGGTACCTTTTCTTTATTGCAGTTTGAAAACAGGTGCAAATTTCTAACATTACCTAGCAGTTATTGCGGCTTTTTCCTCGAATCACATAGCTTCTGTACCATCGTCACAGAACTGGTTAAAGGCCATCGTCACAAATTGGCAAAACGAATGTAGCAATCGCTATTGTCTATTTTGAGTTAGTTCAGATAATTCCGTGACTACAAATGCGAGTTTCTAACTAAATTCATCCCTGCTTTGGTGACTTCGCGGCCAGGCTATATGATTAGGCAACATGTTGAGACAAAAGGACCTACAAACAAATCTATTTTCCAAATGTGCCATTACATTTCCACGCTTCAACTGCAAAATGAAGTCGTTTCATTTCATCTTTTTTTATGGCATATCTCATTGTGCTTAGCATGTCCTCTTCGATTCTCACTGACAGTTATCTCTAATTCGTTGTGAGTGATTTCGGTTTTAAGGGATAGTTTTCCGATTCATTTCCATGGTGCCATGCGTCCACACATCATGATTTTATAAGTTTCCGAGGGAACTCTGGGAACTCCTTTTATATCATGATACTATTTCTTAAGTGCTATTTATGTTATATACAACTGTCAGTGGACCGTAACCGATATATTCTGCATTTTTGTATCTAAACTTCAAATGACCGTCTAACTTGTAGCATGACTTTAAGTGGAGTGACTCCTCTCTAACACCTATTTCAAAAAGACTTTAAAATCATCAATAAATTACAAAAAAACAAGAAATGAATTGTCAGAACGAATGGAGGTAAATGCTTATGGGATCCACCGAGAAATACAAGTAGTGTGACTGACAGCTGAGAGAGAAAGACAACGTTCAAAGAGCGTACATTGTACCGTGTCTTAATACCAACGTCAGGACCCGTAATGCCTATACGCTAAGGGTTCGCTCTCCCGTTATAATCTCACGAAAGTCCCTATATTCATTACGGTATAGGTTACCGTAGGCATAAAAGCTAACTCGCCGTTGTATGGTCAAGTGACCAGAATGGCCGAGACTGTATTGCCGCGTAATGGATAACTGGATAGAAAATGATAATTCAGCTTTACGCTTTGCTACATTAAAGCTATCAACCATTTAGACTTAGGGCCATTTCTTGATCAAAGCTGCAACCCCAGGAAGAATATATTTCTCCACAGTTGTTCCAGAATAGTAACAATGAGGGAAATTTTAAACAAGGCGAAAGCATAAGAAGACAATAGCAAATTGGCAAACAAGATTCAATTTAAATCAAAGCTACGATTCTTTATTCCAGCTCTTTTTATTCTTAATCTCTTAAAGCTAAAAGTGCCTAGGCTTTACTTTTAATCGAAAACATACTGGACAAAATATTCTGTCAGTTGAAGGAGAATCTAGCCCCTTCGTTTAAAGGTTTAGTATATAGAAAATTGAGCATTTTACTCAAAGAGTTTACTAGTGTCACTCGGGTCGCCTGTACAGAAAGAGCAGTTTACGTGTAAAATAACATTGGCTTGCATACCTTAAACGATACTGGTCAATTCCTGATCCAAGAACTTTATCATCAGCTTGATCACCTATAACAGGGATTCGAAATGTTAGTGACGAACCCTCTCGTCAAACATGTTTTCGTATTCCTTCCTTGACATTGCTAAAAGTATAACCGAACATTGTAATAAGATGAATTTTGAAGACAAAACCCGCTTTGTGTTATAAATGATGCTTTGAAAATACCTAGCCTATACCTACGTAAGAAATGTAAGCATGTGTGTGGATTTCAAGGATATTATTTATAGTATACAGCTTACATGGATAGATCAAGTGCCTAATGACAATGGGATATAGCAAAACTTTGATATCTATTGTGGGTAGTTTTCAATCAGAACGAAATCATGTACCAGAAAGGTGGGTCATAGCATGAATAAACGCATAATTGTTTTTCTGGACTTCGAAAAGCTTCTTAAGAAGGAAAGTTGGTAGCACAGAAATGCTTAAGACACAAAGAAGGCATAGTTATAATAATCAAAATGGGATGTGACGATGACCCGACTCTTGCCACTATTGTCTTGCCAATCGCCGCAGCCAAGAGAGGGAGTGATACCCTTCCATCCAAATGTCCCCTTCAGATTGGCTTCGACCCTGGGATTAAAAACTGTTAAGACCTCAATCTTATTTTTAGCGTCCACCCTAACACGTCAACCTTTGGACTTCAGTAAGCCCCCATGGGTGCTTAATCGAATTATCGCGCATTAAGGACAATATTTTTGTCCATGACAAGCCGTATTTCAAAAGGGAATGAAAACAAAATTAATCAATCATTTCACAATATTTCAGGCAGGGTTATAAAATGACCAGGAATATGAAGTGAACTTTGAAATATGAAAAACGTCCCTACCAAAAGCTTCCCAAATTAATAAGCCCCCAGGGGGGGCTAATTTGCGGAATGACGGTTCTTCCGTAAACAGAGATTCAGTCTGAATTTTCTGCATACATTTTCTCACGGCTGGGAATGGAGTTGAAAACAATGAAAGCTGGGTCAAACTGACGACAACGGTCCTTTGAATATTCACAATCAACTGGAAATTTAATGGTCTGCATGATCACAGGATAATCTTACATTTGCAAAGCAACTTTTTAAAGGCACCGTTTTTGTAGAGCTTCTTTCGATCACTTCAAGATACACACAGCATTGTAACCTTTTTAAGGATCTCAACATCAATAAGTGCCTGCAAATCCCAAGATTATTTTTGAAAATGGAAAAAACACAATACTGAAATTCCTATGGACACCAAAAACGAGGGCTTGTTTTTGTATTTTCCATTTCGTTTCCCGAAAACATGCCTGTTCTTTAGAAAAGCAAAACATTTATCAAACCACGGGCGTTAAATAGTGGATTTAAGCGAGTGATTCTATTCGTATTGGAGGTTCGCAGAACATATCGATGCGTAATCATGAATAGGAAGAGTAAGGAAGGAGCGGGGTGACTGAACTAACGTTGCTTTTACTCGGTATGAACTCTGCATTAATATCTCAGCTTTGTCTGGAAACAGTTATTGCGCTTCACAAAAAAACTCTATGATTTAAACTTTATCAAGCCACCATCCCCAAACCACCACCAACCCGAACCAGGTAGTTTCGTACCTCCCTGAACCTCTTAATATATTGACCTGCAATTTTTAATTCATCATCTCAAAAAACTGGTTTTAACTGGCAGTATAAAAAACTTAGAAACATAAAGTATTGACTAGTACAAATTAGTCTTTTTGGTTGGTGATCATGAACCTTGTAATTGGACTTAATTTAATCATAATTCTAAACAGACGTGATATTCTGTACGTTTTAAACATTGCAAGCTGCAATAAGGTTGATAAAAACAGAACTGTTTCCCTATGTTTATGACAGAAGAGGCAAACTTTTTGAAAATGGGAGAAAACCCTCCACCGAGATTCCCTGGGACACCAAACAACCGTGTCTTGTTTCTGTATTCTTCATATCTTTCCGAATACATTATGACGCTGCAAGTTAGGGCGGCTAACTCATTTCGGATCCAAATAACGAATCTATGTTACTTCACGCCGATCTGGAATATTTAAATCGAAATCAGAGTCTGCTCGACCAAAATGAGAGGCCGGTTACTGTTCGAACAGAAGTTTTGCAAGCAAAATAAGCTTGATTGTGGAATATGGCAGTAATTAAACTTAAAAAGAGACATTGAAAGTTTCGCGATTTCTGATAAAAATTTTCGGAAAAGCAAACATGGCGTAGTTCAACTGACATGGCAATTTGAATCATTCACCGTAAACTTTCTCCTTATCAAGACATTTGCAAATAGGCACTGGCGAGTTTATCAAATTTTGTGGAAAAATGCGGGTCAAATATATTACGTGGCAAAATATTTGCCAGATAGCTAACCGAATCAAGATAAAACTTTGTTGTTGAAACAGCTGAAAAATGAAGTAGCATTTAAGGCCAAATAATTTGTGTTATTCAGTCATAAATGTTCTGTTCCTATGACATTAAAATTGCTAAAATGCATGCGAAGAAAGTGATTATCCAAATATTATATTTAGGTCATACATTTTCGAATGAGGATCTCGATCTATAAGGCTCGAAGTCCTTGTTGTCTTAAACCTTTTAAAAACTAGTCATCATTCAAGAATTCTCTGAAAAGGGAGGTCACAACCTTAAACATAGAATGTCACACCATCTAAAGATTTCGATTATCACAACTGCAAATTATGATCGACTAAGGAGCCGATATATATGCAAGTTTCTGGCACCCTCTTATTTTGTTCTTCATCCTTCAAACTTCATAGCAATGTTTAGTGAAAAAACCGGTATAGACACACTACTATAGAATCCAAAATGAAACAAATCTTTTTACGATTCTTGGCAAAACTAGGCAAAACCTGCACACTAAAAGGAAATGGACCTTACCACGAGTTAACCAGTCAATTAACATTGGTATTAGCGATGCATAAATAGGTCTAACTTCCAATTACGTGGCCCTGAAAATTAATACTAAATCTTAACACATTGCAATGAATAATAAAAACTGGAATGACTTCACTATTTGATATATAAAGTCCTAACTACAGTTGACGGGGATGGAAACCGCAAATATGCAGATCCAACGAAATGCTCGATCGCCTTCCAAACTAGCCTTGAAATTGAATTTGTAAAAAATCTTTTTGACGGCAAAGGGGATCAGGTGCTGATTGAAAGTTTAAGTATTAAACTGTCCGTGTCTAAGTATTAAGATTTTGCCAAACTTTTGAAAACAATCAAAGATATTTACTTTTTGTGTGTCATTAAGATGAAACTGCAATGTACCTTACTTAAATTAAATTACTTCAAAGGCTTCAGAAAAAGAGATCTGGGTTACTTGGATATAAAATTACTGTTACAAAACCATACACTGCAAGTGGCTCAGTTTGAAAAGCTCTCGACTTGGAACCGAGCGGTTCGGACTTCGATCGCTCTCTACATCTTAGCGAACGGTAAGTTTCAAGAAAGACAAAATTATTTCAAGTCGAGAAAATCATTAACTGCAAGTCTTAAAGGTTTTTTCACAACTGGCCAAGTCGCTTCACTCACCCATCCCTTTATGCTTCGGATCTCTGATGTGACTATAAATGCTTTCACGTCTTGAAAGAGATAAATCGTTTCGTAAAAAAGCTTTTATAAACAGATTTTCAACGCTTTGTTCATGATAACATGAAACTGCAATAACTTTGTGGTTCCAAAAAGGCAAAACTACAACTATTAGTCCTTATGGTTATAGGGACAAGCAAATATAATGAAAATGACCAGGTGCCAAGCTACGTATCAAGGGCATTAATAATAAATACAAGAGTGGCTTTTGCGTTTTCCACAGTTATAAACAAACATGAATACCCCCACCGTTCATTTGATTCGATTCATTAGGTTTAAAGATAAATTATGCATCAAGCCAGTTTAAATAATCTTAATACTAGGTCGCATTTATAAAAAAACTCAATTGACATTTATACATTTTGCTCAAGACCTAGGAATTCCTACTTCGAACATAACACTGGCTAATGAAAATGAAAAACAAAACAACAGACGAAGTACAAACAAATAAAAGCACGTCCCCTGATGTTTTTGCCTTCAAAACCTTTTTTGGCTGACGTCTGCCATGGCAGCAAAATTTGTTTATTTAAGAAATGAAAAATGTTCTAGATCAAAACAGACCCAGAAATCTAGCTTAAATCGGGACACCTTCTTCAAGAGCGAATATAATTCCCTTCGGATCTGATGAATATAACATTGTTTACGTGTCGATTGTTAGAAAATAAGGACTCTTTAAATGACGTATTAATAGGCTTAAAACCAAGGATTTAAGGCAAGCAGATCCTAATCGGTTGGGAAATATGCAAACAGAAAGTCTAGTCAGGCAAATATTAGAATTCTTAGGGCCCATGCAATTTTGCCCTTTAAATAGAAACATACCTCATTCATTTTTTTGGTTTTTTTCGAAGCTGCTTCAGTATCAGCTATGGATTGAAGAGAATCCTGAAGGAGACATTCGCTATCTGCCATTTTATTACTCCTTATTCAGTGAATGAAGTCAGCGCTCCGTCAAACATCTAAAATGTGTCTCCTAAGTTGCAAGAGAGAAACTTAAAATATGATTACCATGCTTTAAACATTTTCTTCCACAAAACATTGGGTACTTGAGTAATCAAAGCTGTACTTACATTGTTTTGCCAAAATTCCAGTATCATTGCTTGCATTTGAAATTCTTACATTGCCT